ACGTTTATCAAAACAATTTATTGTAGTAGAAAACAATACTTATGTTTTTGTAGTGAAAGAAATAATCAGCTACCTCGAAAAAGTGTTCGTGTTTTGTGTGCGATCTGCCGAAGAAGAATTACTGAAAAGTAAAAATCTGCTTTAAGGACCAGAATCTATGCTAAAGTTCTTCCCTCCCCTGAATGGCGTGACCAATCAGAAAGATCTCTCGGTGAACAAAAGCCGATGTTTTTCGCTTATGTGACAGATTTAGATTTTCTGAGCTTGGTGTACAAACATGTGTTTTTGCTGGTGAGAAGTGAAGGTTGGATGTGTGACCCCATTTTGTCGTTTCTATGTTGCCTGTTGAACTGATACGACGGACTATCGTTTGAACTGTGATTTGGCTACAAGTGTTGCGGTCGAGAGACAGAAGAAATGTATTGCAGATGTTTATTGCTACTATAAGTTGACAGTTTTTTTTTTCTTTTCAACTACAGTTTTTCTTTCCCTTTCCTTCAGTTTCAATTAACCCCCCTCCACTCCTTGGTCAAGAAGCTTTGCTCGCAGGATAGCAGAGTTCAGGTTTCAGTAAATTATTTTATTACCTTCATCCTTTCCCCCAAAACTTTATAAGAGGCGAAATTTAGTTTAAATTTAATTTATTTTAACATTTCAAATTGTATTGTTTATGAAAAGACAGATCGACAAAAAATTCCATACCAACCTTTAACTTGGTCTAAAAATGTAATTCTAGCTTTAAATTTAACCAGAATTATTAAAATTTTATTTAATTTGTGACTATGACTAATTACTAATGTAGTGGGTTTTAGGTCTGCGTGTTCATATCACGTTGTGGTGACCAATTGTAGTGGGTTGGTATTTGATTTTTCGTCCTGTATCAGATGTTGGTAATGTCGTTGGGCCACAATAAATAACACAAAAACGCGGTTGGAAAATTAAGGGTCAATTTTTACTGACGCACGTGTGACCCGGAGGTAAAATGGTGGTTGAGCACAAGTCAACATGACGTTGAGAGAGAGTGACTAAATCTCCTTTCCTTAGGACCGCTGCAAAACACGTCCGAATGCAACGATTTGAAACTATCCAGACTAGATGATCTAGTTTCTGGAGGGGGGGGGTCACAAACTTTGCACGTGACCAGAAACCCTTCTTTTTTCTTTTTCTTTTTGTTTCCATTTTTTAATTATGGGAAAATGAAATCATTTTTTTTTTTTAATTACTATGTCTATTATTTAATTTATTTATTATTTAATTTTCATTCTCCTACACTAATAAAAGATTAGCGCAACACAGTCTTCCTACCACGTTTGGCCTTGAAAATTTAATATTTGCATTGTATGTTTGGATGTTGTGTGTGACGTTCTACATCACACACATACATACATACTTACACAAATACAAATTATACAACGACAAGCATTCATTGGATAATAAATCAACACTACTTTGTAATAGGCAATTTACAAATCGCAGCAATGCGACTATTTTATAATCGCTCTATTTTCATGTATTCGATTTTGTGCACTTTTAGGAGAAACGGATCCCAGAAGCTTTCTTGAGTCTCCCCAAAACTCGCTCGCTGATTGGTCAATGCCAACCAATCAGATTGTCTGCACGTGAACAACAATTCTCCCCGCGCAGCGATTCGGAGCCGATGATCACCTATATAAGCAAGAAATATTCTTAGATAATTAGTGAGATTTCAGCTGCCAAACGAATCCACGACAGTTGAAACCATGCGCCAATATTCTCACTTACACCACCACTCCCATGCTGAATATTCCTTACACTCACATAATCTTTTCCTTACACAGCAAAACTGTTGAAAACATTTATTACCAGAAACTATCACAAACTTTCTTTCTTTCAGTGAACTTTGGAATACAAATAATAGTTAAAGAGAGACAACTCTTGTTTTACTCAATGCATGCATTTATTTCACACCCGTGTTTGTACATCTTGTTAAATATATATTTTATATGTAATGATGTCTTTGGTTATCCTTTTTTTTCTTCACGTCAGTTTGGTTTCCTAATCTAAGTTGAATTAATGTGGTGAAGTCCGCCACACGTGTATGTGTTTGGGTGTATTGATGGGAGTAATAAGAGACGGTAGAGACATTTTCTTAAAAAAAATCTTAAAAAAAACTTTCGCCTCAAAATCGTAACCAAAGGCAATAGTATCAGAAAAATACAAATAGAAGGGGGGGGGGCAAATGTCAAATCCAGTAGTTACTAACCGTGCTGGGAAATTTGTCCCGGCTTTCCCACATCAAAGGGTTATGGTTAAAAAATTGCGACAAAACGTGAATACAAAACAGCAAGATTAGAGCGGACAAACTCTCTCTTTTAGGCGGACGAATAAAAAAAAAATCCTGCTCGGTGTGTAACAATAAAAGAAGAAAGTGTTTATTTACATATACAAAAAAAGGAGGGGGAAAAGACAACTAGGAGTGAAAGAAAGGGAAAAGAGAAAATGTCCTTTAAGGGAAGAGAAAATGTTCATAACAGAAAAAAGACTTGCTCAAAATATTTCTCTGAGTGCCTAAAAAGTTCTTTAAGTGAATAGAATTTTGTTGGTTAGAAACACTTACAGTTTTCTTCAAAGTTCCTGCAGAGTAGGAAAATTTTGGTAGATATAGGAATTCTGCAGGTCGTAGGTCGACGACAATAGTCTTGTAGATGAAAGGAGGCAGCTTTCAACTGGTCTTTAATAGTGGGCCGACGTTCGTTCTCGACAGCCCTTTGTAGTGGACCATTATGTTGACTATTGGCTCTCCTTCAGAAATTCCCGTCGCCGATCACCATTATGTAGAACCGGGGGAGGGGGTGAAGATATAAAGAAAACATGTGCGTTTATATTTCCTGCTAGAAGTTTCCAGCTACAATAGAATGTTGAACTTGAATTAAGTCCAACTGAAGATAAGGAAGACAAGCAAACAAGACCGATATATATATATATATATATATATATATATATAAACAAATATATGTATTAAACAAAACGTTTACAAAGCACATAGACAGTTAACATTGTTATTACTGTGTGTATGTGAAGGTTCGTATTTTGGTGAATGTTCGTATGTACGTACGTGTATGTTGGTAATATTTTTTAACGTCTGATCGCAAGGTCAAGACGATAATTCTTCGGGACAACATTTTGCAGCAAGAATAGAGAAGAAAGCGAGGAACAGGCAAACTCGTGTTTGTTTTTATAGATAACGTAATCACGTGACAGGATCACAGCGCTTTGGTGGGAAACCTGGCTTAGTCACGCGCTGGAAAAATATATTGTGCGTGGGTGATTTCAACGCGCACTTGTGTGTTTATATTTCCTGAAAAATATTTACTAAGCTAAGAAGGCTTCTGGGATCCGATTCTCCCAAAAGTGCACAAAATCTACAATACGAAAATATAGCGATTTCAAAATTGTCGCATAAGATAGCTGCGTTGATTTCTATCCAATGAATGATTGTTATTGAAATTTGAATTTGTGTAGGTATGTATGTATGTGTGTGATGATGATCATCACACCTTTAATAGGTAGTTCTCCTTTGGTTGAAAATGGTTCCGAAGTTGACTGGTGTTCTCTATCGCCGACCTCGCAGACGGTGGGCCGAATTCTCACTGCCAAATAGGCGAAGATTCTCCAAATTTATGGAGATTTGGGAGGCTCAGAAAGATCGGAGACTTTTCCCTCCAAAATCGTTATACAAATTTCCTGGCCCCTCCATTGGTCAGAAAACATATTCTTATCTCTGATAAGAATCAAGGCTTTGGGAACCGGTTTTTGAAAGTAATTTAAAAGGTTGGAGTGAACAGGCTGCGAGGTTTCCTCAGACTTTATGGCACCATGTAAAGAATAATGGTGGTGTAATTACTTTATTTTCCAGCTCTCTCGTAAATCAGAAAATATATTCTTATTTCTGATAAGAATCGAGGCTTTGGGAGCCGGTTTTGAAAGTAAGAAAAAAGGTTGAAGTGAGGATTGGAAAAATAGGCTAGAATGTGAACTTGTAAAACATTGTTATCAAATTAAATTCGAATAAACGGCCTCAATACAGATGAAGAAAACTTTCTGGCCGTAGCATCTAATAAATTGAAAAATTTACTGAAAGTAAATTTTTTTTTAAATAACCTCAAGTCCTTTTTTCTAACAACAATCACATCAAATTTCGCTACCAGTAGAAATTAATCTTTTAAGTGTTATTTATTTTATTTTTTATTATAATACCATGATATATTGATCACTTAGAAAAGTGTTCTTTTGTTTGAATTAAAAATAAAAACTTTCCAGCTTCTTGAAAGTATTTATCTTTTGACTAATAAACTGAAACTACCACCAACTTTGTATCGAAAAATAATCACAAAAAAACCTTTGCTGCAACCATTAGGCTGCAGTTTTTTGTTTTGTTTCGTTTTTTTTTTTTTTTTGCTATTTATTGGGGGCGAGTGGAGGGATGATTTTTTACATTTTTTTCTTAATTTTTATTTCATTTTTTTAATTTATTTTTCTTTTTTATTTGTTATTTTACAATCGTCCCGCCTTTATTAAGTAAACGGTGTAAGCTATCCTTGTTAAAATGTTCCGGAAAACACAAAAACAGAATGTTGTTTATATTCAATAAAAATGAAAAATATACCGTCTAAGTCATAGAAAAATACTTTGAGTGTTTTCATAATTTTAATTTTAGTTTCAAAATAGTTCTTAATGAAGAAAAATAAACATATTTAGTTTTTGTTTTTCTTATTTACCTAGTCTTATTTTCCGGGTGAATGGACGTCATATCGAGTCCGTTACCATGTAAGCAACAAGTGAAAACATGGCAAAGAAAAGGAAAAGTAATTTTTAAATTTTATTTAGGTTCAATAATTGCAACTTCCCTGCTAAAGTGATAACTGGGGACTTTTTATTTGCATCGTCGATATTAATGAGAAAAGCTTCATTAATCGTCTGCCATTGAGAGAAGAAAACGTACGGAACAAGGAACCATGTCAATGTTTAAAGTGAAATTGTTGGTGCTCGGACCAATGGGGGTAAAACAAAATACTTATTTAAAAATTAAATTTATTATTTTATTTCATTTTAAATTAATCACATTTATTTATTTGTGTTTTTGTTGATAAATATCCGGTCGTGAAGCAATGGGGAATTCGACTCTTTATATTACTTTTTTTATCAAAAGTTATACTTACTTATTTTTTTTTATCAAAAAAAAAAATCCTTTCTGACATGATCGATTTTAAACTTTGCTGACTCAAAAAAAAAAAAATGATTTTTAACTAAAATTTCGGACGTGCTAGAAAGATTTTAAAAATTTTTTTAAAGATATTCAAATAATACTTTGATCTTTCCTCTTAACAAAGATTTGACGATAAAAAAAATGTTTAATCAAGTTTGGGCCCTTTTTTCATCAGAGTATGACCTTTTTTTAGTAAAGTATGAATACCTATTTTTAACTTGTCTTTCAACTTATTGTTCTTGCTTTTTATCACAATATTACTCTTTTAGTATTTTATTATTATTTTTTTATTCCATATTATTTTTGCTTTTATGCCTCTATTTTATTACTACAATACAGTTTAACCCGGATATAAGAGAGTTGTCGGGACCGGAGAAGAAGTCTCTTATATCCGGGTTTGGTCTATTTTATATACATTAACACAGGCTCTAATTTGGGACCAGAGAAAATCTCTCTTATATTCGGGTCTCTTATATCCAGGTTACACTGTACTAGTTTTTTATTCCATCTTTTTATGTACCTCAGCCTCCCCCACCAAAAAAGCGATAGCTCATGTTTTTAGAAATGAAAAATCTTCCTTAAAGCTTTTAGTTTTAATTTCAAGCTAATAGATTAAGCAAAATACATTTTTGTTGTATTTCAAACTGAATTTTTTAGGTACCTCCAAAAAATCTCTAAAAATGAGCGTACATGATGAAAAAAAAATACCTCGGCCCGAACTTAATAAAAAAAAAAAAAAAGTTTTATCGTAAAAAAAAATCAAGTAGGGAAGACCAAAGGATTTTTTTTATTATAAATTAAAGTTTTTAATCCTTTTTAGATAGGTACCTCCACGAAATCGCTAAAAAAAGAGCATAGCTTGATGAAAAAGACGCCAACCTTGCCGAAAACAAAATTTTATTGTCTAAATGCTTATGTTATTATTATTAAGAGGAAAGACCAAAGTTTTTTTTTTAATTATTTTAAAAAATTTTCCTTCTTTTAGAACATTCTAAATTTTGATTAAAAAAAAAACTTTTCTATTTGTATCAGCGGAACTAGTAAATAACATAGACAATTTTAGCACGTTTTTTGGTATGACAGACATTAATTTGAAAAATCGTACAAAAATAGAAATAATTATCGGATGTTAATGAAACTTTCAGGAACTATTCACAGATGATCGAAATTATTATAAATATGTTTTTTTTATGAACGTCATGGTAGAAATATTTTTTTAAAATATTTATTACCCCCCCCCAACTAATTTCATGAAAACGCTACAAATTCGATCGCATCGGTTTAGTGATTACAATAATTAAAAGCACAGGGCTTTGAGGAATGCAAATCATGTTTTTTTTTGTTTTTAATTGGATACGCAGTACCTGAAAATCAGCTCTGAATTGTAACATACAAAACTCAATAAAACAAAGATATTATTTAATTTCAAATGCTTTTATTTACTTTTAGTTGTTTTTATGAATATGGACAATATTTTCTGAAAGCAAAAAAATTTTTCGATGAAAAATGAATTTTTAATACAATTATTTGTTATTTCATTAATTATAATAGATTTTACATTTAAGTTGTTAAAATATTATAAAATTAGTTAAAAGCTGCATCGGCTTTCATAAGTGTCCTTATGAGATAGATCTTTTTTTAGCGCGTTGTAAATTGTATCATTTTGACTAATCAGAAGATCCCCAGTACTTAAGAAATGTAATTTTGTGCTTATAATCGAGCTGTAATTATAAAATACGGAAGACCAACCAGAATATAATTAAGTTGCATTATTTGAGTTAAGCATTGTTCTCTGCTGTTAAGGCCTTTACTTTTGCGAAACACGTGTGGAGAAGTTAATTTGATTTTTCAATTTCAACTGAGAAGGGTACCTACAAGTATCAGTATCATCTTATGAAATTTATATGATCTTATTTTTATATTAATCTCAGTTACGACATTTTTCCATAAAAGTTTATAACCTGCTTTGTTTTATTTTCAAATTACATCTTTTTGGCACAAAAGCTAAGTTAAGTTTGGTTCAAAATATTTTAAATAAACATTATAATTTCTGATTTTCTTAAAATAAGTTTTGAAAAAATGATAATTGATATTTAAAAAAATTTCAAAATCAGATTTCCATTTTTTTTTTTTTAAAGGGAAAAAATGGTCAATTTTGCTGACTCAAAAAAAACTAGATTTTTAACGAAAATTTCGGACGTGCTAGGAATGATTAAAAAATGGAGAAAAATACCCCCAAAATACTTTGACCTTTCCTCTTAATAATAACAAACATTTAGACGATAAAATTTTGTTTTCGTCAAGTTTTCATCATGCTATGCTCTTTTTTTAGCGATCTCGTGGAGGTACCTATTTTTAGAGAACCTTCAGAATTTTGATTAACTTTTTTTTCTTGTGAGAAAAATTGCTTAGCACAGCATAATAAAACGACTTGCCTAGTAGCAGACCTGGCAATTGATTCAATAATCTGTCCACTTCATGTCAGTTTGTATAAGGAGAAACTAAAATGGATAGCACATTTAACTCAGAGAAAATAATGACATAGTCAAGATGTTGACATTCCACATGACTTAAAATAAAAGGTTGGGAAGGAAACCCCCATCTATACTAGAAAGAGCAATAACAACTATTATTTTTTTTTTTTTTTTTTTTTTTAAGAGAAAGATTTTATAAATTTCAATCAAAAGTGGTACTGGCTGCTCAGTCAATGAATGCCAAATGTTTCCTTGTAGGAAAATGATTAATATTACCATTATCAACATTATCCTTTTTCTCAGTTAATTTTATAGTACAATTATCAATGACTGAAACACAGTTTCAGACAATATTCTTAATGTTAGTTTCATATATATCTACATTATTGATAATTACATACTAATCTTTGAATATTGTGAACTGGTGCTACAAGTTCACAAAGAAAGAACTGTACCAAATAACAAAAAACACATCACTTGAGGACTACCAACAGCAGAAACAACTAAAATGGATAGATAGAACACGTAACACAAAAAGAAAATAATGACATAGTCAAGATGTTGACATTCCACATGACTTCAAGTAAAAGGTTTGGAAGGAAACCTCCATTAATACTGGAAAGAGCAATAAAAGCTACTGGACTTGAGAAACCTATTATCCTGAAAAATGATTTTAAAAGAAGGATTTTATAAATTTCAACCAAAAGCAGCACTGACTGCTCAGTCAATGAATGTCAAATGTTTCCTTATAGGGAAATTGCTAATATTACCATTACATAGCAAACAGAACCTCCCTCTTAAAATTTAGAAAATCTAAAAAAAAAATATTTTTATGTTCAAGATATGGGGTTCTTAATCAATAGTAATATGAAAAAAAAATCTAAAAAAAGTTAATGTTTCTTGGAGAGGTGTGTTTCTGTAGAAATTTCAAAAGGACAGTTTTTCCCATGACACTGTTTTTGACTACCTTCACACCTCAGCAATGTTTATTACTTTAAAAAGCAATGATTTGAGTTAGAATAAAACCTAAACATATGAAAATGAATTTATGCATTAATTTTTTTGTTCTTGATAATTTATAGCAAAAATATTAAACACTTTTTAGTTATTAGATTGTTTATTTATATTAATCATTTTATATTTACAACATTCTAAAAACTAATACAATGCAATATTTATCATTTACCAATTTATAAAGAAATAAATGAGAAAACAATTTTTCTTTGTAAATTTATAAACATTTTAACAATTATTAAAATATGTGAACCAAACAATAAGGAAATCCCAATTTACCATTTCATAAAGTTTGAATCAATTGGCAATTAGTCAAACAGTATAATAGTCTTAGTAAACTATCTAATAATTAAATAGTGTTTATTATTTTTGTCAATAATTGTCAAGAACAAAGAAAATGTATAAATTCACTTTCATATTGTTACATTCTTCCTAAAACCAGATCTTCTTCTGATTCATACTAATCTTCACCACTGGCCAGATGTGAATGCTCTAAACACCCCAAACTGAACTAAAATTCAGTCAACTGTGCAAGGCTCCACATATACACTCCATTTTTAATCACACACTCATAGAAAAATTAAGTACTACAATTCAGAATTTCTACCCAATAGCATGCACAGTCGCCTAAAGAAACAAAATAAAAACCAGTCCAATTTGAGCCTAAGAAAGGACATAAAAGCCCATCAAAGGGACATTTGGACAGCATCTTGTCCCAGGTTCACAGATTTTGTCAAAAAGTGACCTCACATCTCCAAGAGACAGCTTGCAGAGGCCAATGCCCCAGCAATTCACAATTTATCCTCCACCTCCTTCCGTACGCCTCTGTGGATGCCTTTTACAATACCACTAATCTCCTTTTTTCATGAGATACATCTACAATTATTTATCATTTTTTGTATTTTATATTAACAGAATTGTTTATTTTTTTAAACCTTCATTGTTTCTTCTTTGTTCTGAAATCATACGCTTAATATAACAATATGTTTACGCTTTATTACACTTTTAATCCTCACTTTTTAAAAACAGTAAACATTAGCAAAGAGTGAAGGTAGTTGGAATAAAAGTGGTATCATCAGAAAAACTGTCCTTGACACTTTGTTTTTTTTATGGGCATGTGTTTGGTCTGTGTTTGCCTAATAGTTATTACATTTAGTATATAATAAAATGTCCCTGCAAATGGAACAACGGTTATGGGACAAGCATGTTACTTTGTCATCAGCCAGTATAAAAGAAACAAAAAAACAATGCGATATAATTTCTTTCTCCGTGTAATTATTTAAAAACATTTTTACATGTCAATCCATTCTTTTATATTAAAATATATAAACTTAAATTACCACTTATGATGTCAAGAAACATTCTTTTTCTTTTAGTGTGGAAAAACAGTTTTGTCAAACTTTTTGTCCCGTGCTACGGAAATGTCAAATATTTCCCCAACAGTTGGAGTCAGGTATCTACAGTTTACATTTTTTAAATTCTTGCCAAAATTTAAAAATGAATTAGTAACAAAAAATCCATTTCAGTGCCATCTTAATATTCATATATACATTCTGAGTTTACCCAAGTATTTGACGATGTATATAATTAAATTTATATAAAATAATAATACAACACAAACAACTATCAAAACACATCAAAATTAATAACAAAATTATAAAAATAGAACAAAAATTGAATATTTTATTTGCTTGTAAATATTTCAATATTGTCCTGTTCTTAACGGACTCTAGAATTGGTGCATATTTCATATTTGAAGTCTCTGATTAACATTTGTTTTGTGTAGTTTAAATATATCTGGTAATAATTCAATAGATATATTGGACTATCTGATCCTGATTATTAGTGCAAAACACTGAAATTAGTTAACAAAATAAGTCTATTGAAGATTTATTAATTTATGGTATAGTTTGACATTTTAATTTTTCAATTTGTTTTTCCTTTTTATCTGTTTTTTTTTTTTTTCTTTTTTAAACAAATATAAAAATAAATTTCAAACCCAAAGAGCTTTTTCTTTATAATGCAAAAATTCTATCTCAGATTTTCCACCAGTTCTTTTTGAATTATATGAATTTTAATAATTAATTAAAACCTGAAATGTGATTTTTTTATATATATATATTAATTTTTTTTTTTTTATAATTTTTTGATCAAGCTAAACACTTTATGATCTTGCTCAAATTGACATTTCATTAGGGATTATTTGTTTATGACATCATATAAAAAGCAATTAACTATTTTCATTTAATTTTTGTCTGAATTTCTGGCAATGAGCAGTTATCATTATTTACATTTTTCATCTTCATTGTTTTTATCACAACGTTTCAACCATTGTCCTCTTCGGCCTTCCTCAGGTCTATATCAATCTGGGTAACCTACAAGGAATTCCAAACAGGATCCTTTATTTAATTCAGACTATCCTTGTTCCAATGCTCATGTTTGGGCATCTCGCCAGTATCCCTTTGCAGTGGGGGTGAATTTGTTAAAAAAGACAGTGTTGGGTCAAATGTAGATTGGAATCTGACAGAATGATAACATAACAAGTAGGAAGTGTTTATCAATCTAGCATGTTTCACTTTTGTTAAAGCTTCATCAAAGAATGTGATATTGAGAAAAAGAAGAAAGAAATTCTGTTATTTTTACTTTTGTGTTGTTCAATTTTTCATTTATACTAATGATTGTTTAACAAGTCAAATGCGCATGAAACATGATTAAACAATGAAAATCAAACTAGATAAAAGTAAAAATACTAGAATTGCTTTCTTTTTCTCCATATCTCATTCTCTGACGAAGCTTTAATAAAAGTGAAACATGTTAGATTGATAAACGTTTCCTGTTTGTTTATAATCACATATGTGTATACATGTATATTTTATCTTATTTTATTTATTTATTTTTTTAACAGAATTTTGGAATTTGAACAATCTGTGGATCTGGAAGGCCGCAATACTAGTGTGGATGTGGAGTTGTGGGACTGCAGTGGAGACCATGTGTAAGTAAAAAAAAAAATATATATATCCTATTTTCTTGAGTATAATACAATTTGGTGTTTCTGAAGCTAAAAACAGGGAATGAATTACATCCTTGAGTATAATATGATCCCGTAGTACAGCTATCCCAATGTAAATTATTTTGAAAAGTTGTATCATATTCTCCATTAAAATCTCCTTGTCATACATATATTTTGCTAAAATATTTAATTTTTTACAATATTAATAGAAAGGAATTGGATGTTTAGCTATTGTGTGTTACTTCTCCTAATTTCCATTTCAAAATTTATTTATTGTAATATTTTTCAGTTTTAAATTACAAGTACCAGTACATACTATAATATAATTATGTAATATAATTATGTTGGGGTTGTTTACATGTCTATTTTATATTGTTTTATTTTTCCCTAATCATTTGAAGTTTTCAAATTGGATACTTTATGTCAACAAATGTAGGAATATGAAACAACAATCACCTCACAACATAGGAATTATCACCCTGTTTTTCAAGCAGAAAAACCTCAAAAAAATACATTTACAATAGTTAAACCTTTGTTGCAGCATTAATGTTATCAAAACATGACAGATCTTGTATATTGCATTTGTTAATTTTTTTTTTAATCAATTTCAGTGAATATCCTGTCTTTGAGACAAAAGATATTCAATTATGCTGATTTCACAAAACAAAACAAATATTGTTAACATCATATCAAATACGTTCTGTAAACAGTTGTTATCAACACCTGCCTACTTCATATTTTATTATCTAGTGCGCCGCCTGGTTGGTGGGGCATCAGAATATGACAACTGCCCCCCCGCAGAGGGTAAAAGTCCCTCAATGGGGCCACCTGTTGGCCGTGGGTGGCGACCTATAATGTCTGGGGACGGGATCCTGGTGGTTGAGCAGGTCGTGACCCAGGTGTAAAGCGGTCATAACCCTGCAGCACACCACTTTGGCCCTTACGGAGGAGCCCGATCTGATCAATCGGCTGGTCATGTCAAGCCCCATCATATATAATCCACCCCAAACCAAAACTTACACTCCTCCTCCCAACCAAAACTAGCACCTACCCCTAAATATATGATGGAAGGCGGTGGCTGAGGGTCAATCAATTTGGGAGAAAAAGTAAGTGCTAAGTCTTCACAACCGTAAAACTTGGATAACAGAAACAAAGGAACATGCATGCTCAAAGACTCCTCCCAAAGAGAGTATACCTTTCACATAGCCCCGACATGGCAAGGCGAATGGGTTTCCCCCTTGTCATGTCCCAATCCTGGACTCCGCGGTGGGTAGGGAGTGTGGATGATGAATTAAAATAAAAACAATCAATGGAGAAAAAAGAAATCTACCAAGCGACCACATGTGGATAATGACTCTGAAACAGAAAATGATAATTAAAACTTTCCACGATTTATTGTTCTAGAAGCAATAAGCAACAAAGCACTAACTGAAATATCTCCATTTAAAATCCAAAAAGCTATATCAAAAATAATCATACCAAAAAATGTCAAAAAACTACAAAATGGAACATTACTAGTGGAAGTGGAAAAAAAGATATATGCAGATACACTAATACGACAAAAAAAGTTACAAGAAATAGAAATAAAATCCTACCCACACCAAACCCTAAATTTCTCAAAGGGTGTAGTAAAAAGCAAGGATCTCTACCTGTGCACTCTAGAGGAGATAAAAATAAAACTCCAAACTCAAGGTATTACAAACGTCAAAAGAATTACAATAAAGAAAAATGAAGCAAACTAATACCTACATTCTAACTTTCAACTCCCCCCAAATTCCGACAATTAAAATTGGATATGAAATTATAAGAGTGGAACAATACATACCAAACCCTCTTCAATGATATAGATGCCACAAATTTGGGCATCACAGAGATTCCTGTAGAAACAAACATGTGGAAAATGTAGTGAGAAAGAACCAGAACATAAAGAAGAGAATTGTCCAAATGAGAGCCTATGCTCAAACTGTTTGGGAAACCACTCTGCCATCTCAAAACAATGTAGTATCTATAAACAGGAAAAAGAAATAATCATAATAAAACACAAAATAAATATATCTTTCTCAGATGCATGAAAAGAAGTTAAAAATAACATAAAAGAAAACACCTACGCCTCCATGGTAGAAAAAGCAAATAAGATAAACAATGAAGATAAAATAAAAGATTCAACTGAAATAAGAAATTTATATAAGGAATTAAAAAACTTTTAACCGAACTTAAATCAGATCAAAATAAAAATAAAACTCAACAACCCAAATTAAATGGAATTAACCCAGAAGAAGGCAAAAAAACTTTGGAAAGAAAACATAGAACAAAACTCCAGCGAACCCTCTTCTTCCCAAACCCAAATCAAGAATGAAAAATAAACAAAAAGGCCAAAAAGTGACAACAGAACAAGAAAACACTTGATCAAGATCTAACTCAAAATCAAGAATCAATATATCAAATGAAAATAAATTTGAACCTCTGGAATATATGGAAATAGAAGAGAATGAAAATAAACAAATTCCAAAACAAAACCAAAAATCTGACCGAAGGACATCACAAGTAGTTGAAGATAAAGATTCAAAAAACTCAAGAGCTGGAAAAAAAAACTGGAGAGGACAAATGATATAAACCTAGAAGGTAACTTTACCCCCAAAAAATGAAAATATAACTATGGCACATAAGATCATGCAATGAAACTGTCATGGAATAAAATCTAATTACAATGACCTACTCATACTTATGTCACTACTGTATCCAGCAGTCATCTGCTTACAGGAAACTTATTTACAAGAAAATGTTAACTTAAAAATTATAAACAATACCACTATAACCACAATACAGGACATAGAGCTAATGGAGGAGTGTCAATATTGATTAGAAATGATATACTGCAAAGTAAAGTACATATTAAAACTTAATTACAAGCAATAGTGACACGAGATAAAACCATCACAATTCTTTCCATTTATATACCCTCACAAGAACCAATAAATACAACAGAAATAAACAACTTAATGGAACAACTTCCTAAACCCAGAATCTTACTAGAAGACTTTAACAGTCATAATCCTATATGGAATAGCAAAAAGCTAGATACTAAAAGTAAAATATTAGAAGAAATAATAAACACCCATAACTTATGTCTATTAAGTCATAAATCCTCGATCTACCCTAATCCCTCCAGTGGATCAGAATCATCAATAGACTTAAGTATATGCAATCCAGAAATTTGTATGGACTATACATGGAAAACACACAGCGACACATGTGGCAGTGATCATTACCCGATCATTCTAGAAAATCAAAAGCCTGCCAAGGAAGAAAAGAGAGGACCCGTCAGATGGAAACTGAAAAGAGCCAACTGGGAGGGTTTCAAAAACAAATGTAAACAATTACTGATACAGTCAAAAGACACAGACAACTCAATAGAATACTTTACCAAAACACTAATAACCATAGCCTCAGAAAATATACCAAAAAAGCAAAATAATTATAAAAAAACTAAACTCTGGTTTGACAAAAACTGGGAAACAGCACTGCGAAAATTCAAAAAGGATCCCACAACCCAAAATTTGATTGAAATGAAAAAACTCAAAGCAGTCACACGAAAAACTGTAAAAGAAGCCAAAAGGGAATGTTGGAAAAAATATGTAAACAGCCTAAATACACATTCCAAAACCAAAACAATATGGGAAATGATGAGAAAAATAGCTGGAAAAAATCAAATATCCCCAATAATATATCTAAAAAAGAACAACACTAAAGCAACCAGCAAAAAGAGATTGCAAACCTACTAGCAGAGACATTTGCAGAAAACTCTAAAGCGAATAAAAATCAAAACCTACAAAAGTATAAACAAAAAGACATAAATAACCAACTAAATTTCTCATCTAAAAATACAGAAGCCTACAACAACCTATTCACTGAAGCAGAACTAATAAAAGCCATAAAAAAATCCCACAACACAGCAGTAGGCCCAGACCAAATCCACTATGAATTTATTAAACAACTACACCAAGAATCACTGAAATACCTCTTAAATATTTTTAACAATATTTGGACAACTGGGAAATTTCCCAAAATATGGAGAGAATCGATAATTATTCCCATACTCAAAGAGGGAAACAATCCACAAAGTTACCGACCAATAGCATTAACAAGCTGTTTATGTAAGACAATGGAGCAAATGGTCAATGCCAGATTGAGTTGGTTTCTAGAAGAAGGAAAACACATATCAAAATATCAATGTGGATATAATAAAGGAAGAAGTACAATAGATCACATAATAAAACTAGAAACAGCCATAAGAGAGGCCAATTTAAACAAACAACATCTAATAGCCATATTATTTGATATAGAAAAAGCATTTGATCAAACCTGGAAACATGGTATAATGAAAGATCTGCATAAACTAGGACTAAGAGGTCAACTACCAAACTTTGTAAAAGGATTTTTAACAGATAGAATCTTCCAAGTACAAATAGATGCTACACGTTCTGATTATCAAAAGCAAGAAGAGGGAGTACCACAGGGAAGTGTACTCTCCCCTACACTTTTCAAAATAAAAATAAATGACATAAAAAAAAACATCAAACTAGGAATATACTGTAGCCTTTACGTTGATGATTTTACAATATATTACAGAACGAGAAACCTCAACATGGCAGACAGACAACTCCAGCAATGCTTACATCAAATAAACAAATGGACACTCAAAAACGGTTTTAAAATATCAAAAACAAAAACAAAATCTGTACACTTCTGCTAACTGAAAAAAATTACACAATAACCCAACTCTAAAAGTAGAAAATGAAGAAATACCAGTAGTTCAGCAATACAAATTTCTAGGAATGATCTTTGACAGCAAACTGACCTTTAGACCACTTACCAATTAACTAAAAACAAAATGTTTTAAAGCTCTCCAACAACTGCGAACAGTAGCCCACACAGAATGGGGTGCTAGCAAAGAAACCCTTCTAGAACATTGATCCACTTAAATTGGACTATGGCAGCATGGTCTACCAATCAACTAGAAAGTCCTATCTAAAAATAATAAATACAATACACCATGAAGGCATTCGGATAGCTCTAGGAGCCTATCCCACCTCACCTATAGAGAGTCTACATGTAGAGGCAAACGAACCCCCATTACAACTAAGAAAGGAAAAACTAGCAACTCAATACTATCTAAAACTCTCTTCCTGTCCTTCTAACCACACACACGACTGTGTACTTACACCAAATCATAAAGTGAAATTTAATCTTAACACAAATAAAATCAAAACATTGGGACTCCGAATGTAAGGAATCATCCAAGAAAATAATATACAGTCTAATCAAATACTTAAAACCAACCAATCAAACATACCACCATGGATAATCAAAAATCCAAACATAATATTAAGTTTAAACAAATTATCAAAATCAAAAACACGCCCCACAACATACATTGAAAAATTCTCAAAAATAAAAGAAAAATATCAAAACTATAAAAGTATTTACATGGACGGCTCAAAAGATGAAGAAAAAACAGGCAGCGCAGCAATAACAAAAAAAAAAAATCAAAAAACACTTGCCAAATGAAGCATCAATTTTCAGTGCAGAAGTCTACGCAATAAAACTAGCACTAAATTTCATATCAAAAAACAAAGGAGAAAACTATATTATTTTCTCAGATTCATTATCTGTATTAACATCCCTAAAAGGGAAAAAACTGTAAAATCCATTAATACAAAGTCTCCTATATAAACTACATTCAATGGAAAAAAAAGCAAAAATATCATCTTCTGCTGGATTCCAAGCCATGTCGGCATCCAAGAAGGAGACAAGGCAGATACTGCTGCTAAATCATCTTTAAAAATGACAATAGATGAAAATCTTCAAATTCCATATACAGACTTAAAACCTAAAATGAATAAATATATAAGAAACAAATGACAAAATTTATGGAAAAACCAAACCGGAAATAAACTATTTCAAATTAAACCTAAAATAGGAAAATGGGGAAATAATCTTGGAAATACTTGGAAAAAACAAGTCATTATAACAGGAAGACATTAGAAGTATAGAGTTGAAATAAACTTTAGAAGAAACTGGAAACCTAATCTTAAACAGTAAACAAGGGATAAACCTCTACTCCTGTTCAAAAGACCTGGGAGGAGTGTGAACCGGATAATAGGTGAACCTATTTACTCCTACAGGGAGAAAAGAAAAAAAAACTTCAGAAGTAAAATTTCACAGTTCAAGTGGAGACATTAGAAGTATAGAGTTGAAGGAGACTTTAAAAGGTTTAGGGAAATAAATTATCCCTTACAAGACTATAAAAACCCAAGAGATGTCTTTCAGACTCTGATTCTGAAAAAAGAAATTAATATGGAATTTCCAATATTTTTTTGTACTCATGTCCCTTGAAGTAACTTCACTAGCAAATCTTTCTCCTTTCTTGATTGAAAAGGTACAATCCAGTAGGATTAATCCTAAAACACTTCCATCCTGCGTATGATGATAAACTGCGTCCACGTCCTGGGTAAGACGATAAACTACATCTGACAGCAAGGCCTCTGATCAGGAGGTTTTGAGGAATGTTAAACCACCTCTTAATTGCTGGTGTTCCCAGGTCCACCATGACCTGGAGTGGTAGCACCTGTTAGGGTCCCAGCTATGGGCAAATAGTTAACACCCAAATTTGTCTTGTAAAATTAGGTTTTAATACCAGAAATACTTTGTAATAAAAAAAAAAAATTATTACCAGCAATAAATTTTTTTTAATGAAAAATTATTATCAGCAATACTTTAAAAAGAAAAATATACCAGCAATACAAACAGCTGTACATTCTTTGAAAACATATGACCAGCTATAGATTTCTTCTAGAAAAAATATTCCCAGAAATAGATTTTTGGAGAAAAACATTACCAGCAATAAAAATTTTGTCAGCATTAAATAACCCATTGAAGTTGATATACCATAAAACAAAACAAACCAAAAATTATAAACCAAATGTGAATGTTAAGATCAATTTCTGTACAAACCGTGTATCTGAAAAGAATACATCAATGAAAGCAGACTCACAACAACAACCCTCTTTACAAAAGAATTTCAATAAAAATGAATTTACAAACTGTTTCCTTACAAAGAATATATATTCTATTCATACAAATCTATTGTAAAACTCTTGGTGGCATTAATAACGCATTTTGTGGTTGATATGGTGTAAAGCAAACCAAACGTTTATGAATTTAAGCACACAGTACAAGATTTGGCAACAAGGTCCTATCATTTTACATCTGAAAATGCTAGATGTAAACTATAAAGTTCTTTGCTAAGAATTTCTTCTCTTACAATTGCTTATGGAACTCTTTTGCAGCTTCTTACTTCAAAAATTTAAATGTAATGTCATTCATTATCTTGTCGTCTTAATTCTCATTTTCTTTATTGTTCTCTCTAATGGTTTTTTTCTTCGTATTCCTTCACACTCAGTAACCCTCTGCATCTTAGTGGCTTTATTACCTTGCTTGGGGTGAAATGATAAAAAATAAAACAATTTTTTTTCATTTACAATACATTTCTATTGTAAAATCATTAGCAATGTATTTACTTTATACAAGATATAATCTTTAGTGGTCAATAATTCAGACAATTGTTGCTAACAAAACAAGACTATTATTTATATATATATATATATAGCTGATTAGTTACAAAAGAAACATTGAAATCAAAAAGAAATGAATGGTCAAGAAAGAATGCAAAAGTTACTGATAGAATCATCATACTTATAAAACCCAGGTTGTGTGTGTCTGTTCGTTTATATATTGGATCGGATTTCCTACATTTTTCAACCGATTTCAACAAAACTTCACAGGACTACGTAAAATTGCCTTGCAGTGGTTCTGACAGCGCCAAAAATTGGAAAAATACAATTGTTTTTGCACAAAATCAATTTGAAAACACAATTAAGAGGCATCACTGTCGCCAGAATGAAAGGGGGACAACTCATATCGAGTTATACTTATTATAAAACTCAGGTTGTTAGTGTGTGTGTGTTCGTTTATATATGGAATCAGATTTCCTACATTTCAACAAAACTTCACTTTTTTTTTTTTTTTTGGCAGGTAGTGTTTCTTATTGTCTTGCACACTTTTTTCTTTATTTTTACATTCAGAATGCTTTAAAAATTCCATTTACAAGACAATTGTTTATAATAAAATTCTATTCAATCGGTAGACTCATAACGATTGAAAATAATGTTTTTGTTTGAGTTTGGGTTTGACCAATTCGTAAAAAAACCCCAAAAAAACTAATTACGACATACGTGTCCGTCAACCTTAAACAATAATCTTTGTAGATTTTATTTTTCAGTCTTTATGATGGTCGATACTTGATCTAACTCTTACTGTTACATCCCCGGGTAACGCCGGGCTCTACTGCTAGTATTGTTATATGAATACTGTAAATTCTTTGATTATAGCAATGTCATTACAATTCAAGAAGAAAGGAATTGTCAGAAACGAGGAATTAATGCAAACATTACTGATAGATTCGTTCCATTATATGTTGAATGTTTTTTGGGGTTTTTTTTTGCATAATACACAGTAAGTAGTACTGAATAATAGGGATACATTTACTTGGGTTTCTTTCATATTAGTTGAGATTTAGATCCAGTCTTAATTGGACAAACTTAAAGTGGAAGATTAAAAAATTAATATACAGCTTTGTTTTGTAAGGGAGCGTTTGACTGTAAACAATTGACAAATGAGAGAATGACAAATTTGAGAAATACAAACTTGAATTTGGCACATAGATAAAACTTTTTTCTTTCACTCTTTCTTTTTCAATAGATATGAATCTTGTTGGCCAGCTTTTGCTCAGGGGGTCAATGGAATTCTATTTGTGTTCAATCCACATCGTTCAAATCATGACAAAGAACTGGAAAACCTGTGAGTTTTACTATTTTATTTTTTATGTATAATTTATATATAATTATAACAAGGTGTTATTTTAACATGGTATTATGTCAGTTTATAATATCTAATGTTCTGCCATTTTAGCCTTAAGCACTTTCTTTGCACATCATTTCTTAACTTGTGCAGGAATTATTTTGTTATATGTAGGTATCTCCAAAGATTTGCTAAAAATGAGCCTACATGATGAAAAAATTCCCCCAAATTAATAAAAACAGTTTTATCGTCAAAATCTTTGTTATTATTAAGAGGAAAGACCAAAGGATATTTTGATTATTAAATTGTATCTTTTAATCCTTTTTAGAACCTTCAAAGTTTTTGTTAAAAAGTATTTTTGTTTTTTTTTCTTGGATCAGCAGGTGACTATTAAATTAGTATAGGAAATTTTAGTGTTTTTGCGGTGAAAAACATTTGATTTGGAAATTCTTGCAAAAATTAAATAATTGTCAGATTTTAATTAAACTTTCAGGACTTATTTACAAATCAATTCAATTATTTTAGAAATGTCTTCTTTTTTTTTTTTTAGGAAATCTTGGTAATATATTTTTATGTTAACCCTCCACACACACACACACACACACACACACTTAATTTTATGAAATTTCAAGAAATTAATTTTCATAGCACTTATTGTTTTTATTAGTTATAAGCCAAACTCCTTGGAGAATTTAAATCAATTTTTTTTTTTGTAAAACAGGATCCCCAGTTAGAAAATTTTCTCTGAATCATAAAATAAAAAAATACCATAAAACTAAGACATTATTTAATTAGAAAAGCTTTTAGTTGCTTTTATGGACCTTTTTTTTTTTCTTTTTTTTTTTTTTTTTCTCAATGTATAATGAATTTTACAAGGACTGTTTTCATTTTTTAAAATTTAAATTACAATAATTTATAAAGTTTTAAAATTTTTAAAATTCTGTATTACAATTCAGCAACTCCTAGTATTTTAAAAAGAATTTTGAATTTTTTTGTGTGCATATGTGCCAAGTTTTATAAATACAGACAACCATACATGATATTATTAGAAAATAAAAGGGATAAGTATAGTAAATTTAAAGCTAAAATATCTAAAATTCAATAAAACATTACAGTACTTAGAATATTTTCCTAAATTTTTAAGATTAACAAGTAGTTAAAAAAATTATATGAAAATGGTGCTCATGTTATATTTGTCAATTTTTACAGATGTGTTCTCCATAGAAAAAATTTCCAAACATAAGTCTTTTGAGATACTTGTCACCTTATAAAAACACCTACCTCTGTGTTAAATGCTTTTTTGTGATATTTTAAACTAAAAGTAATGTTTGTTTCAAATCAAATTAATTAAACTTTAATCAGATAATCTTCCTCGAATAAAGTTTCAGGAAAATACTTTTTTAAAAGATTTGATAAAGAGAATTAGGTTAGGCTGAGAGAAATGTAAAATTGACTAAAAATTGACAATTTTTAACAATTCCAGTTCATTTAAATTGATTTTAAAATACAGCAAAGTATTTTATTTCTTAGAAATATTAGGATGTTGAATAGGTTCTTGCTGATTTTTCATGAAATGTTTTATTTACAAAAAAGTAGTATGAAACATGTCACTGAAAGTATTGTCCATTGCTAGCCACTACTATTTCCCATCTTTCTGGCTGCATTTGAATTTCATGTCAGAAAAAGGACACATATTTTGAGGCTAACCATGATGATCCATTTTCTTAGCATTTTCATAAGAATGAAAAGTGCTGCTCAGCCAGGCCATGTGCCATCGATTGGAACAAGTGATAATCAGACGGGGGGGGGACAATGTCTGGTGAATACAGCAGGTGGGGTAGGACTTCCCATTTAAGCATTTCGAAATAGTTCACCTGTTTTGCAACATGTGGCAGTTGTCATGTTGACTGTTTCTTCAATGCTTAGCTCAAACGCATCAATTTTAGTTGATAGTGATCTCCTGTGATGGTTTCAGTCAGTTTGAGCAGCTCATAATAAACTATACCCAGAAGTTTTGAACCCTAGGTATTCATTTTTGTTTCCGATGTTGATGCATGGCTGGACTTACCCCCCGACCTTCTATACTTAGGGTTATCGTAGTGTATCAACTTTTCATCATTAGTCACGATATCATGGAAAAAAAACTTTTCCTTTTCTACCATTGAAGCAGCTGTTCGACATATCTCAACTTCAACTCATACAGCACCCAATGTCCTTGCTTTTGAATCATTCCTAAAGTTTTTAAACATCTCGAAACTGTTGTGTGATCAACACCTAATGATTCTGGCAAAATGAGATACACTGAATTTCAAGCTTGCTTATAGATGTGTTATCATCTGAAACTACACACACGCAGTTCTGGGAATGCCATCTGTTGGAAAACAGCGAGAACTTATTCAAGGTTCTAATATTAAATTTATTCTATTAGCGTGAAACTAAAAATAAAATAAAATCTTAAATTTTTTTCATTTGTAAAAATTAATTTTAAACCTTAGGTATCACTTTCTTTTCTTTGTAGGTACAATTATATATATATATATATATATATATATATATATATATATATATATATATATATATATATGAGAAAAAGAAATGTGGTAAAGTTTTTGTGTGGTACATTTCCTCCTTTAGCTTTTCATCAGACTAAATTTATGTTTACGTCAATGCAACTGCACATGCAAAACAGACGCCGAGAATTTTAAATTAAAAATTTTTATTTCGTGTGTGTTTTGGGTGCATAATGTCGATTTAATTTAGATCCTCTTTCTTTTCCATCATTTAATTAATACAAAACTAAATAAGCTAAAACTTGAAAGAGGAATTTACCTGTAATAATTGCCACAAGGAATACATCAGAGAAACCTCATGGAATTTAAATAAAAGATTATATGAACACAAAAAGGGACTCTTTACAAAACCCACTCAATGTGTTAGTTGCCCACTGTAAAGAGACTGACCACTAAATTCATTTAAAACAAAATGCTACTCTAATTAAGAGAAAACTATTTACTAAGACAAAAATGTTCAGAAAGTGCTTTAATCACTTGCTCATCTACAGTAAATTTGCGTCCAGGTTCTTACAACATTTCACCTTTCTTAACATATCTTCTATTTGCACAATGAGGGGATAGTTAATAACAAAAGTGATGGCATCAAAGAATCATAATCTAAATGAAATAGGCTTGATCATATACCCAAAACACATTAAAAAAAGCAAAATTTAAAATATTTAATTCTCTTGCGTCATTTTCATTTATGCACCTGTGTAGTCGCATCAGTGTAAATATAAACTTAATCCATTAGAGTCCTAAGGGACAAAATGGGTCACACAAAAACTTTTTCCACATTTTCATACTCACAACTGCCACCCCACACCAGATTTTCTTTTTCTGTGTATTTAGGCAGCAAATATTCTTAATGATATTAAAATGACAATTTGTGTCCATTAATGATTGACTTTTCCAAATTAAGTGGTACAAGCATGGATCACATTTCTCGTACTTTTTCTTCTGAAATGAACTTTGGACAATTTCTGACAGAATTTCCTCCTTGCCTGAAAAGGATTATTCATAATTTGGAAAAGTTAATCATTAAAATTAATCAACACAAAATGTCTGTTGTCGTTATTTTAAATTTTCTCAAATGCACAGGCCAGTAGACAGAATAAACACACAAACTGAGCATTCCTCTCAAGCAAGTACTCACTAAAAAGGGTTTTTTTGGGGGGTGGGGGTAATAACAAAAGGAAAACTTAGCTGACACGTTTCATCCTCTGATGAACTTTATCAAGGCAAATGTACGAATTTTATTTTGCAATAAGTATTTATAAAAAAAAAAAGTAAGAATGTAGTCAGTTTTTCAGAATTTGTAAATTTAAGGACATTCATAAATATTCATCAGGTTAACTGAAAAGTCTCGGTAAATTATGGAAGATGCTAAGTGATGTAATTTAATGTCTAATAAACAAGAGTATTTTTTTTTTTTCTCGCTTTTTAATGGGCCAATCAAATTTGCATTTCTTTGCTGGTGTAACCACCACCAACACCACCACCGCTCTGCTCATTGTAGATTCTCTTACTTCGTGGGCCAATCAGGGCTCAGCCCTAAATGTTGCCTGTGCCTCAGCAACCAACTGCCAGAGTCCCTCAATGCAAGGCTCACAAGTGAACCCCGTAAGTAGGAGATTATCATCATCCGTGTGGTGGCCACTTTAAAGCTTTCAGTGTTTAAGAAATCTATGCACATCACTTGCACCGTGTGATCGGGTCACTTTCGTCTGCTTTTCACATCTCACATGTGATATCACTTTCTTTTTTTTTATTGTTTTCACTGCTACATCGGCATAACATTGTTACCTGACAGTGCTGGCCTCTTTGGTGGGGGTGGATAGGAAATTGCTTTTTATTGGAAAAAAAAAAATCACTGTTAACGATGCTGACAGTAAATTTTTTTTTTTTCTTTCTCCATGTGTGCTGCAATTTAGACTAAGTAGAATGAAATTCCTAACAGGATTATAATAAAAATACGTCACAAAACACGGCAAACAAATCTGTTCATGTCTGCATTTTTTTTAATGTATATTTAGTTACTTAGCGCATTATATCCATCCTACCAATACCTCCTAAACAATGGACTATTCATTGTGTGTTGCAAGGTAAGGTGGAAAAGTCATAAAGACTGGTTTAAGTGAGGTAAAAAAATGATAGCACTCACATGTGTTTAATGTCTGCTTCAGTGAAATGAAAAACCTTGTCAATTTCAAGTCTTTTTTTTGCACCTTTGTATTACAATAGCAATCATAAATATGAATGTAGATCATTATTTTTAAAAAAATGTTCTTTTTTAAATAATGACCTACATTCCTATTTAAGAGTTATTGTAATATTTTATTGTTAAGCACAAATATGTAATGAGACAATAGGGGAATTGCTATGGGTGTCTTATAGTTGTAGAATTTAATCATTAAATTGAGAATTACGATTCATCAAAAAAATTCAAATAGGAAAACCATGAAATTTTCACAGGTCTTTCTCATACTAATTAATGACTCACCCCACCTCCATCCTAGTCTTTCTCTAAAAAAAAAAAATGGTGGCAATTGAGTTCTTTTTTTTACCATTGCTAATAATGAAAATATAGTTGATAAATAAAATTTAAGGTTTTTGTTTTATTTGAACAAGGTTTTTATTCCATCTACCCGAAAATTTCCAAATCCTCTTTTTATATTCTCATTTTCTGAAAAATAATGCACTATGACCAAATTAGGTCATGTACAATAAATCCCACTCTTAGACATAATTTTCTTGCCTTCGAAACTAAAAAGCTGATCAATGCTCAAGATTGGCAGATTTTAATTCAACACCCGTAATGTCTTAAGATCTTCATTTTATTACATTAAATTGAACATCTTTGAAGTAAGAAAACCTTTCAAACTGAGGAAGATATTAATTCAGCATTATAAGAATTCTTTTAGGTGCAAACAAGATCAATTTGAAAACAGACAGTTTGTTTGTCCCCCCCACACACACACACACACAAAATATTTACTAATATTTATATCAAATTATTTAACACATTTGGTCAGCAACTCTTTCTCCACACCACAAATTTCTGAAATGACATTTATTCTTTTTCAAACTGTTTCCTCATCATTATCACAATATTTGGGCCTTAGTAACACAGAGACTGAAAGGTACAGTGGCTAAAGCATGAAAACATGTACAAGAAAATTGGTTGAAATTAATTAATTCTTTTATTAATAATAATAATTATTATACCACATGTTTAAAAAATAAAGATTGAAATTGGATAAACACAACAAATATGAGGAAACTAGCTTGAAATCAGCTCAAAGTTTATGCTTATTAGGTACTAAAAGAGAAATATCTTCTTTTTTTTTTCATTTCCTTAAGCTTTTTCAAACTTAGACACAATTTACATACAATTGTTTTTGTTTATTTTTCCTCTCAACAATTTTTTTTCTTCAATTTCTTTCTCTCTTCAACCCCAGTGCACTGCATGCTTATATTTTTTGCTTTCTTCTTGCTGCTAAAATTGCATTTGCATTGTTTTTGGGGGCAGGTATAACTATTTTGTCAGATCTCACTCCTTGAAAAATTTCCAGTGTCTCTTGGTGAGTTTTCGCCATTCCACACACAGTGAAGTGCTGAACTCTCAGAGTAAGTACACAACTCATTTCTTTTTATCAAATTATTTCTGCTCTCTTGGAACAGGTTTCAAGAAGATTTACATAGTTTTAGCAGTTTGGGGGGGGGATCAATGGAAGGCTAAAATAAAGAAAAACGGTTCAAAAATATTAATTGGAATCATAAAATGTGGAGACTGGAGAAAATATCAAGAGATTGAAACTGAAGCTACAAATTTACATCACTAGGAAAATAACTATTGCGTAACTCAAGTGTCAAACATTATCAAAATAGAATGTGTCAAAGCCAAGCCAGCTGATAATTATAGATACAGGGTGCAATGGGTAAATTGTTGCCATTTTATATTTTTCATTTTGAGCATGTACGTTGTTTGTTTTTGTCAACTGTACAGTAGGGTCAGTTGGGCACCATGATGCAATTCACTCTGCCAGAAATTTGGAAACGACATGCTGTACTGCTTGGCATTCATGCCAGAAGCTCCAATATGAACATTTTAGAGTGTTTGGGTGTCAATCTAAGGACAGTGCAGAGGATTTGGAAAGAATAAGAGTCTAATGGTGATTACAAAAGGTGTTTGCAGTGATGACGACCTTCCTCCATTCATCTTCCCATCAAACTCAACACAGAAGCCTACATCTAGTGTCTTGAGGCGGTAGTGCTGAGCTGGGTCAAGAGGGTGGTTGCTGGAAGACACTATGTCTGGCAACAGAACTCTGCACCATGTCTGTCAGACAATTTCTGCAATCACATCACCCCTTATATCTAGCCATCTAACTCCCCACTTTATTATGTATGGAGCACAATTAAGCAAGAGACCAACAAAACTCCTTGTAACACCAAAGAGGAACTGAAAGCAAAAATTATGGTAGCATTCACCAACTTAAACAAGGAGATTCCAAAGTCCATTTTGTTGATATTGTTTATGATAAAGAAAGTAAAACAAAAAAATTAACATGGTTAGTCAGGCTGTATAGATTCAAGAACTATCAAAGCTGGAGACATATTTAAGAGGCAATGTTTTTCTTGCTTCAATTTTATAAATAATCTTTTAAAAATTTCTGACTTGCATGCCCTGTTTTTCAAAGTACTTTTTATTGCAACTTATTTTTTTTTTTTCAAATGTCCATTTTAAATAATTTATTCCATATACGGTATAAGTTTTTTTTTTTTTTTTTTTTTTTAGCAGAATGTATCTTTTGAAAAAGGGCAAATTAAATTTAGCCAGACTTAAATGTGGGAAAAAAAAATCAAAGAAAGTGTCAGTCTTAACTCGTCAACTGGAGGGTTTTGGGTGAGGAGTATGACTGAGGTAGTGTTGAGGAAATAGTCAGCAGTACTAGTAAGAAACATACAAAAAATTAAACTAATAATTCACCAAAAGAAAGATACATAAACACACTAACGCATAGACATATATATATACATATATATAAAACACTCTTCCATCAGTGACTTGATAACCAGGTTATAAAAAAATGGAAAGGGGGCAATAAACATACCAAGGACTTTGTCCTCTTTTTTTTCTTACATATCTGGGATTTTTTTTTTTAAATGTTTATTTTTAATGAATTATTACAATTAATATTAAAATGTGATTTTTTTTTTTTTTTTTTTTTTTTAAATTTTATGCACAGAGATTTTTCAAAATTTAGTATTTTAGGTAGAGTAAAGGAATCATTTTAGCATCTAAATTATACCAATAGTATATTTTGTTAAAGATTGTAATGAGCCCGACAAATATTGTTGTCCTAGAGTTGCCATTGAGATATATAAGAACAATTTGGGGGTGGGGATGTATGACACATTTCATCCTTTAAGACTTCATCAGATTAAATTTTATATTGCCGCATCTACAAACACACGCACAAAGGAGAGATGCTGGGATTTCTAAATTTTAAACTATTTTTCTTTTCTTTTTGTGTATATATTCTAACACATTTCATTTAGATTGTTTTTGTTACCATCAACTTTGTTATTAGATATCCCATGGTGAAATGCAAGAGCCAGGGTGCAAATTTACTGTGAATGATCTAATGATCAGTACAATCTCTAAACACTACATCCTGCAGCAAGGCCTCTGATCGGGAGATTGGAAGTTTTGAGGAGCATGGAGCCTCTTAATTGCTGTTGTTCCTAGGTCTGCACTGACCCAGGGTGGTAGCACCCATTTGAGTCTCAGTCTCAAATAGCGAGTCCCAAAAGTAAAAAAAAAAAAAATTATGGAAGTATAAAAATACATTTTGTTTTTAGTTGAAGGCATGCAAGTGCATTCAAAATATTTAAATTTTGGCATTAAATAAACCACAGAGGCTGATATGCTGCTAAACAAAATCAACCAAACAACATTAAACTATAATCCAAAATATAACTTCAACAAAACTACATAAAACATACATATCACCGCATCTTGTAATTATGTCCACACAAACATGTATCTACGCAAAAGCTGAGTATCATCTACCATGTATTCAATTGTAAAAGCAGAATAACATTTTTTATTACTTCAAAGCTCCCAAGAAAATTAAATATCACCTTTCACATTAATGTAAGCAAGTTATTTGCTTTGGTCATCTGAAATGAATAAATTCTAAAATCTTAGTGAATTAAATTTTTGTTTTGGTCAAAATTGGTTATATTTGGACACTTGGACTAGTGTCACTTTCTGTTTTCTAATTGTTAATAAGATGAATGTTTGTGTTATCTTCCTATTCATATGTTTTTAACTTAAAAGGTGACAGACATTAATCACCAATAATATGTAATGTTTAAGATAAACCCGAGATATAATATTATAGCTTCCTGGAAGTTCTTTTTTTCCTCGGACATTTTACTTCATCTTCAGATATGAATGGCTGAATGATTTTGGTAAGACTTGTTTAAATTTGTCATCCATGTGAAGAAATAAAACTGCCATTTGCAATAAAATTTCTATAAGATAGTTGATTTGTATTTAATTTTAATGGTTCAAAAAAAAAAAAAAAAAAATGCCAAGCAAAATGGTTGCCCCTCTTTGAAAAAAGTTTGGACACCCCTGCTCTAGACATTTTTGTCTTAGTGACTTGATCAGAGTAGCATTTTTTTTTTTTTTCTTCTTATATCAAAATTGTGGTTAGTTTCATTACAGTGAGCAACTAATGTATTTAATGTGTTGTTTGGCAAAATTGTGGCACTGGGATCTCCAGCAGTTGATCAAACAAAAAGAGAAAGTAAGAAAGAAGAAATATGAGAGGATCTACTAACTGGGTGATAATTGTTGAACTTGCAAGAAGATGGATTGAAAGGTTGAGAAGAAAATTAAAAACGAAATGTGTTAAAAAAATCATGTTTTGAGATATAATTCCAAGGAGAATCAAACCCAAGATTAACTAGAGAGAGAGTTCAGTAAGATTGATCAAAACCCAAACTACCAGTGCTTCCAGGCAATGAGAAAGACACCATTAATGTATCTGCAAAGATGTCAAATAGAAAAAAAAAATATGTTGCCAATAAAGAGATTCGGGTGGTTACCAAAATAACATTTAAAGATCACTCTGAATGAAAAAGCCAGAGAGAAAAAAAAACAAAAAAAAAAACACACATCTGTTTTTGAATAGAAGAAAAGTATCTCCACACATTTGTTGTTCTGTGAAATTTGGAAAAAACACTTGAGTAAATGTGTATTTATATATGAAATTTAGAAAATGTTGATGTTTAGGGTAGAAGACAACTGAACCCAGACCCTAGTCAATCTCACTCCTGCCAGGTGCAAGACTCCACTTAAGCTTGAGATTTTGGACAGACAAAAGAGACACATACAGAGTTCCCACACTGCTGCTACTGGAATCTGTATCATTTGCCAAGACCTCCTGACCAAGAGCATGTACCATGCCTGAAGACCAGAACTTAGAAATTTAAGTTATTACTAAAACAAGCTGCTGACTCTGAAGGAGATTTCAGTGTCATTTGATTATAACAAGTGGGAAGGGTTAAAATTGCTGTATACAACAAATCACACACACACAAAATCGTTATTGCAATTCTTTATTCCAAAGGATTTTGGTTATATATATATATATATATATATATCCCACAATGTCAAACCATCCCCACTCCAATCTTCTCACCCTCTGAGATCAAAATATAATGTGGTGGGCAGAGGAGCGATGGTTGTGAACAGACAAATGCCAGATAAGTCGAATGATACCAGCAACAAAAATGAATCATGAGCTAACAAGTCAAGGGTCAGCTAAATGGTAATCACAGCAGTCTGAAAAAACTTGAGGACTCTGTGATTATGTAATTGGCTGCCATTGACCAGGATGAACACCTGGGTTTACAAAATGTCCCTTTTGTGTTCCTATAATCTTTTATTTAAATTACTTGAATTCAATTGAAGTGGAGGAGCTGGATGGAGTTGAAACTTTGTTCTGACATAGCAGAAGTTGTCCCAATTATCACCTACCTACGAAACCGGAAAAGCTCTGAATATAAGATATGAAACAGGGTTTGTGTTATTTCTCTATGTGTCATTTGTCTTTCATTGGGTTAGCTTGTGAGCATACATCATACATTTTGCAGAGTTTTTTTTTTTTTTGTGAACACCGATGAGATAAAGCATTGGAATGTAACATGGGGTAATCATTGGTTGATTTTGTTTTTCTATGATTTATTTAATGCCGAAATTTAAATATTTTGTACATAATTTCATACTTTCAGGGTAAAAGGTATGTGTTTCGTTTTTTTAAATATATAGTTTTCAGATCATAAAATGTATTATTGCTGTCCATTTTACTATCAAAAATTTGTCCATAGCTGGGACCCTAACCGGTGCTACCACCCCACAATTAAGAGATGGTTCCACACTCCTCTAAAACCTCCAATCTCTTGATCAGAGGCCTTGCTGCCAGATACAGTTTATGATCACACCCAAGATAAGACTGGAAAGCTTAAGTAAACATCACGTTCTATATTTACATGGATCCCATCTGCAAAATAAAGTCAGAGAGATAAGTCAAGGGGGAAAGTGTTTTACTCACTTGCCTACTATTCCCTGCTAAAAAAAAAAAATAACATACCATACCAATCAGAGGACATTTTTGTCAAAATATCTGGTGATTGTACAAATTGCTGCAGGGAAGGATTGCTTTCATGCCTTTCGAAAAAGCATTCATGATAAGTAAATATAAACAATCTCATCTTGATTTCAAAGTTTGGCTCACCAATTCCAAATTTCTATAAAGAGAGAGAATCCTAAAGCTCAAAAGAAAAATTAAGTGTTTATACAGTGACAACCTCCATATTACAATTTCAGTCAATCCCCAAAATAAACAATTCATAGGTTTAACTTAAGATTTAGAAGAAAGCACCAAACAATATTATAAAGAGCTATAACATGGACATTTTTTTTTTAAATCTTAACTGAGAATAACCCTAAATATTTGGTGAATGAATGCAAATGTTTCTTGCATAGAAACAACTATTCTCACCATTGCTATTAATTAATAATGGTTCCAAACTATAAGCCATGATGCTGGCAATACAAATATGCTACAGAGAAGCTGTAAAACAATTTGGTCAAAAAAAAAAAAAAAAAAAAAAAAAAAATAGCAAATGTTACATAAGAAAAAGAAATTATATGATGAAGCTACTAAGGTTGATGGTAAGACCAAAGCTCCTACATTATTACTGTTGAACATTGTTAAACTTATGAATTAGTCACAAGATGCAGTTTAAACCAATAATGCCCAACATTGAGTAATATCTGCTCTTACACACATCCACTGGAAGGAGAGTCTAGAAACATACCCACACACAAATAAGGGGGTACTACTGTAGTTGTAGCTAATTAGTTGGGGGAGGGGGTAAATTCTGATTATAGAGTAAAAGTCACTGGAGTTTAGTGTCTTTGGAATCAGTTCTGATGGCAATCCTCCCTGCAGCCTTTAGGCATTTTGATGAAAATGATAAGATGAGGATGATGCTGTGCAAGTCTTCTTCATTAAAAATAAAAAGCATGCTGTAAAACTTAGTCTTTGTTTGATGCTGGTGAAAAAAATCCTTTAAAGGAATCATTACCCCCACCCCACTAAAACTAATTCTGTTCTTTGTTGGTTTCATTTCAGCCCCATCTTTTCACAACGTGCACTGCATAGAGAGCAATCTGGAAACGAACCCTGATGCAGTTAGGGACGAATTTAAATTATTTTTATCTTCAGTTCTGGTGGCAATATCAGACAAACAGAATCAAGAAGAACTGAGCATCATGAATCGCAGATAAAAAGAAAATGGGGGTGAGGGAATGGAGGTAATTTAATGCTGGGTTAATATTTTTTGTTTTTACAAAGATTTAGTAAATGTTCACAATTCAATCTTATTTCATTGTTATCATTTTCTGTGTCATGTAATGTTTAAAATAAAAAACAAAAAGTGGGCGGGGGATTCAAATATAAAATGTGTCATTTAAAATGTTTAATTAAAAAATCGATTTCTGATAGCAACGCAAGTTTGTTTTTATGAAAATAAAGCTATGGTTATAAAAATAAAAATGTTACTTTCCCTTACATTTCACTATTAAATAAAAGAGTTACTCCCCTTGTACTGATAGATTTTGACTTCAACGTTTCAAATGCCGGTCTCAGAGGCACTTACTAATAAGGGCCCTGTGCCAAATTAGTTCAGCTTTAGTAAAATTATATTATCTCAGACAAGTGTAAGATATGATAAATATAAAACCAAAAACAGTTTTGAAAATGGGAATAAACTTTTTTTTTTTTTTTTTAAGAATGTGAACTTGCAAAAAACGTCTTTGCAACCTTTTACACAGTATCGTTAGAAATATTTTGTTTCTATATTGACTAATGTTAATATTCTGTGGTAATAAATGCAACTACTACCATTTTATTTCTCTCTAAACTGGAAAGGAGAAGAAAAAAAAACAATCCATGGCCCAAGTTCTTACACTTATTAGTAGCAGAAAGATTTATATTAAAAATAAAAAAAAATAATGGTCTGGTTGCAATGTTATTTAAAAAAAAAATTTCCAATGAAGATGATTCCAAAATTAAGATTTTTTTTTTTTTTTCGCAAAAATCCATCGCCAAAATAGTCAAGTGAATTTACTAGGATCGTTTCTGAAAACACAAGTTATCTAAAACTTAGAGGGTGGGTCACCCACACCCACCCCGCTTCCCAACAACACCACCAGCCTGTCTAAATAAGAAGGTAGGGAAGAACTAGGGAAGAACAAAAAAAGCCTGAAATCTTTTAATCAGATTTACTGAGAGTAAATTTTGTAATGGTATTTTCGTTTCTTGGCTTGCCCTGCAGTTACACCTGTTTGAAACACTTGCTTTTGTCATATAGGAAAATCCAACATGGCATATTCAGCAAAAAATCACATCCGTCAGTAACATTTAAGCCCCTCATAGAATGCAAAGCTCTCAAAGCAAACCTTTGCCAAACTGTTTTCCTGAATCCTTGATGACTTGGCTGTTCGAAAATGACAACATCAAGATGAAATAATGGAAACTGATTGTGGAAAACACAATTATGTACAAGTTTTCAATCAATCAGTTATCTTCTAGATATTTTCGGGCCATGTTATTGGATCCAGACATATTGTTTGCACATGGAATTATTCACTGGTAATTTGATTGGACCTTGAAAAATGTCACTCAGGGATTAGCATTAAGAAATTATGGCCAATTTTCTGAGAAAAATCACTTTTTTTAATGAAAAATTTTTTCGCCTCAAAACAACTTTTTTTCAAACTTCAATCTTTTCGCCTCAAAACAACTTTTTTTCAAACTTCAATCTTTTCTAAGTTGGTGTGAACATCATTGAATAAAAGGAACCGCTATATGACCCAACAATGGGAAATACGAAAGACAAGCAGGGAAAAAAAAAAAAAAACCCATATCAAGCCCTTTTTACCAATGTCCCTTTTCTTTTCTAACTCTTTGCTCTTATCTTGTAACTGGTAGAATTATCACCAGCTGATGACAGCTTGTTTTAACTTTTATTGCTGACTGACTGGCCTTTGACCCAGCCATGTCAAAGTCAATTTGGCTTAATTTGAACACTATTTTCCTTATCGCTGCTATTTTTTGGAAAAAAAAAATAAAATAAAATAAAAAAAATGGTTTCTAGTTATGAATTGCGGATAACTCTTTCGCCTTTTACCAAAGATTTCCATGGCCCGGTGCCAAATTTTTTTAACCCCTGGCGACTATACAATTGAAAATTACCAATGAACTTTGTTGCATTTTGACCCCCCCTAGGAATTTTGTTTTCCTTCAAACTCTCAATTTTATGTCTGAAATGGGTTTATTATGATTTAGGATTTCTGATTTAAAAAAAAAAAAAAAATTTTGAGCCATTTACACCAGCCCATTTTACTTTTAAATTAAAGAACATTGTTTGCTTTCAGAAAATACCTAGTTTTTTCAGAGAAAATAAGTTGTGACAAAATGACTTGCTATTTTTGTGGCGATGATTTTTACTTGGGATAGAAATTTTTTACCATAGCAAACCTGAATTGACTTTATTTAAGTTCAGTTGGGGGCTATAGGAAACCTCAAACAGCTGTGCAGTGAGAAAGAAAAAAAAATCCCAAGTCAAGGAGAGAGAAAAAAAAAAAAACCAGGAAACATTACCATTTCCAGTTGAATAATAACAATCAGATGAGAGATTTGGGTTGACATTTTCAATTTATATGTGCAAGAGATTGTGAATGTATGTAGTGTGTTTTATATATATATATATATATATATATATATATATATATCCACTAATTCACCCAGAAAACAGCATACCATGATGAAAAACATGCTCCAAACTTAATGAAAACAGTTTTATTGTCAAAATGTTTATATTATTAAGAAGCAAGACCAAAGTATTTTTTTTATTTTATTAAATTGTTTCATCCTTTCTGGCACATTTGAAATTTTGGTTAAAAATCTGGTTTTCTTTGCATCAGTAGGTCTACCAAAGATTAGTATTAGGAAATTTGGTGTCTTCTTTTGTTAAAAATACAGTTTTGGAAACTGTCAAATTTTAATGAAACTTTCAGAACTTATTCACAAATGAGTGAAATTATTTTAGACATTTTTTTTTTTTTTATATATATATATATATATCTGTTAAGTTACTTATTTTTATGAAAACTCTAGAAATTCAATGCTAATTCTTTTATTGATTATATTAGTTAAAAGCAAAAATACATGACAGGAATCATTAATGTCACGTGTTTTAAGAGTTGTTTCCCCTGACAGCAATAAACTGCTGTTAACACATTAAATTTTCTGAGTCACCACCACCAACACTGTCACATTTGTGAGGTTTTTTTTTTTTTTTTGACGTGATATTTCACTAAATATTCTTAATTTAGGTTTTTAAATATTAATTTATTGCTTTTCAGTGAGAGACATAGTGCAATTTTCTTTTTTAATTTCAATCTTAAGGATGGAAACAAAACAATATTAAAAATATAGAAAAATTAACATTTCATAAAAATGAGAGACATACCTATAATTATTTCTTATTTATGAAATTTTATGGTATTAATTATAATTATCAATTTTTATATTATCTCAGTTGTGAAATTTTTCCATAACAGAAATAAAAATTAATAATACTATAAAATTTCATAAGAGATGTATGTAAAAATTAGGTACTTCTCTTATGAAATTTATCTCACTCTCAGTTATAAAATTTTGAATTTATTTTGTTAGTATTTTAAATTTATTTTCCAGTAATCATCTTCAAATGTACCTAAAAAAAAATAAAAATCATTAAAATATTAGATTGCTGAAAGTAGTAGTTAATTTTTAAAAATTACTGTGTAGTTAAATAAGTTAGTTAACTCAAGATTCGGAAAAATTGTCACTTTTGTTCTTCTGTCCGATAACTTCCCTTGATACAAGCTGTCAATACAACGATTTAACTGTCAGTTAACACTTCCAAAACAAGTCACTGTGGTTAAGACATGCCTTTTTATGGTGTTCCACTGATGCATGAAAAACAAGATTTTTTTAATCAAAATTTCGAATATTCTTTAAAAAAAAAAAAAAAAAAAAAAATGATGAAAAAATTTAATAAAACAATCCAAAAATACTTTGGCCTTTCCTCTTAATAACAAACAACACTTAGACAATGAAAAAAAATTTTCCATTAAGTTTGATGCCTTTTTTTGCATCATGATATGCTCTTTTTTGGCAAATTAGTGGTGGAGATATATATATATATATATATATATATATATATATATATATATATATATACACGAAGTATTGCTATTAAATAATAAGATTGGGCTTACTCAAGAAAAATCCCAATAAACCTAGCATGCATAAATAAAGCTGGTGATGCACATTAACCAACAGACACACACAAAGTTTAATTCTGCACTGACCTTGGTCAATGGAACCCACAGGATTTGTGCATGTGCACTGTGGCTCGACCAGGCTTATTAGTTACCACATTCGATGACATAAGATTCTTTTTCCTCCCCACCCATTTACATATTTTTCATGTCACAGCATTATGAAGATAGATCAGGTACTAGTCATCTATGGCATCTGGGAAAATATTAGTCCATCAAAGCCAAAATTCATTGTTTGTGTGTGTGTGTGTGTGTGTGTATATATATATATAAATATATATATATATATGTGTGTGTATGAATGATAAAAATATAGTTTTATGGTATGCTATATTTACGAGTTAAAGTGCTTGATATCAGGGATAGAGCATATATAAATATAAAAATGGACACCGAGGTCAACACCCAATGGCGACAGTCTGTTTCAGGCTTAAGCACAATTATCAGGTCTGGCAATTATGTTTAAGCATGAAACAGACTGTCGTCACTGGTTGTGGACCTCAATATCCACTTTTATACATGTTTGTGTTTTCTTCATATTTAGAATTTATTAACAGTCTGTAGAAATGTATGCCGGACGTCTTTACACTTGTCCCAAAATGGCGAAGGCCTGAAATGACAATAAAACAAATATTAGTTTATTAGTGACACTGAAAATACATTATTGAATGTTTTTTTTTTTAAAGGTTTGACATTGTTAGCCCTCAACTTCCAACAACTGACCTCCTTTACCCAGACTTGGGACCAGGTTTGAATTTAAAGTTTTCCTTCTCTTGGACAGGTTGCCCTATCAAGGCTAGAAAGCACAGTCTACCAGTTTTTTTTTGGTTTTTTTAAGGCTTCCCAGGTGAGGTGGTGAGGACATAATGAAGAAACACCTCCCTTAAAAACTCTAGATCTAGAAACAGAAAATGAGAGACTGCAGACCATGAAGAAACCCCCCCCACCCCCACCCCACTAGTAGTAGTAACAGTTGCTTTTAGTCTGTTCAAGAAAGAGAATGTAAAACACTGTTGTAGAGTAGCTTCACAGTGGAGGCTTGTATTTCACTAAGTCGGTCCTAAAAAAGTTCGACGTACAAAAACATTAGGAACTTGATATAATAGGTAATGACACAGAGAAATCTAGTGGTGGTCGCTGATACTCTTAGTGTTTCACATCAACTGACTGAGCGACAGCTACTACTCCTACTTATTATAGGTGGGAGAGTCTATTAACAATAGAATAGGTGTGTTCCAGTATAACAAACACACACCAATAAAATCCAGGAGATCATCCTCCTCGATACTGCATATATATTAGGGAGGGTTTACAAACCCTCCCTAATATAAGAATATCCCTAATATATAGAAATAAATCCAACAGAACACCCAATTCCAAGGGATGGACTTGATTTCTTTGATACACAAAGATGGACATTAAGTTGGGGGGGGGGGGCTGAAGGTGAAGGGTCAGTTCACTTTAATGTCTATCATAATTTGTAAATTTTTGTTAAGACTCCAAAAACAACTCAAAATAAGAGTAAAAATATTAGACAAAAGCAAAAAAAAAAAATAAAAAAAATTAAAGTTGTGTGACCAGAAATAGTTTTTATTTTTCTTTCTACAAGAAATTTTTTTTCATATTACTCTAGATTAATGACTAAGTTTTGAACATCAAAAACAAAAAAATTTACATTTATCCAATTTGCTAAGTAAATTCACTATAAATTGATGCTCTTATCTCTTCACTGGCACCAGCTTGCATCGAGATTGTGATCCTCTCTCCTTATTGCCCTCCCGCAAGTTAGCAGTTGGCTGTGAATCAAAGAGAGTTTGGCAAGGTCATTTGCATGAATTTGATTTTGGTGGGCAACCCTACACAAGAGAAAAGCCCACACATTTGGACAGAAGTGCCTCCCTCACAGCTCAAAAGGGATTGACACAGGTTGACCTGGTTGCATCAGGCTGTCAGATGTTTGGCCTATCACAGTCTGCCTTGATTATGCCAGCCCAACTGGCACTGCCCTCTTCCACCAGTTTTCCCATTGAGATCATGTTGATCTTTGCTTAGATAGCAGGATTAGGGTCATGACTATTTTTTTTTTTTTTTTTCTAAAATAATTCTTTTCTTGTATCACAATTTGATGAACTTTTGTTAGAAAAAAAAATAAAAGATTTAGTCCAATTTGTTTTTCAAAGAAATGTCACCCCAACATGAAATTTCTAAAATCACATATCAGTATAATAGTACTACCTATGATTTTCTAGGGCCTTCTAGAACTTTTTTTTTTTTTTTGCTTATTTGTAAGTTATATGGTGCAAATCTGCCTTCCTGAAGTACGACCATCTGAGAGGGAAGTGAGACTTTAGTGTTCAACTGTGAACATGAAGGGGATCTGTGACGTGCTGTCAGGAGGATTTGAGAACATGTTAAGTTGGCTGGTGTTTGTGCTTCTCAACAAAATCTGCTCCCACAAAAGTCTCAGAAAAAGTGGCAAAAGAAAAAGAAATGCAGTTATCAATGATGTAAGCACATTTTCAAACTTGACATTTATAATTAACAATAAAAGCTAATAACTCTTAAGTCAAGAATCAATTACACAGTATCAATATTATGGACAGGATTTCTAAATAAATAATAAAAAGGTTGGGCACCTCGAGATGGTGTAATGGTTAGCAAGCTTGTCTGGCTAGAACAATTACAACTGAGTAGTGAGTTCGATCCTCACTGGGTACCCCATACTTTTGGCCTTGTGCCACATCTAAGCAACGCTTGGAAAAATCACTAAATAATAAAAAGGTATTAAAAAAAAAAAAAAAAAAATATTTGATTCAGAAAAATGCTGTGGTTTGGGGAAGGCCTAATAAATGCTCATCAAAGAAAAAGAAAAATCTAAAACATTTCCCTATTTTATTTATAAGATTAAGTAGTGCCTCACTCCAGATTAGCATATTAATAATATTATTAACCCTAAGAATTTTTTTTTTTTTACATTTTAGAAAAATTCATGGTAAGAGCATAATGTTTCATCTTCCGTAGAGATCAATTTACAATAAATTTACATAATCTGGACACTACAACTTATGAAATTAAATTTAAAAAAAAAAAAAATTGTTATCCAGAATGCTTAATCTATGGTAGTATGAAACAGATTTTTGGAAAAAAACAAAAACAAAAAAAAACTATTTCTGGTTGTAATAGCAATTGTACAGCTGCAACAAAATAAAAAAGAAATGGGGAGAGTATATATATATATATATATATATATATATATATATAAAAAATAACTAACCTGCTGATGAATGTACTGAGAATTTCTTTGGCTAACCCATGGAAATAATTTTGTTGTACACAATGTTCCAGAACTATCAAAGGCCCTGTTAGATCTCCGGGGGCATTGTACTGCTTATTTTCACCCTGAAACAAACAAGTTTTTATTAACATACATTTTTGTGGATTTCTCAATAGTTGCTGTTGTTATCCAGCAAATTATTATTTAAACTAGGATCCTTATCTTTGCTGTTTTGAGCTTTAAACCCTGGTTAGTGGTCTCTCAGCCCCACTACACCTACCCATGTATATCATTTTCAGCAAATTTCACCTCCTTACAGGTGAAATGACTTTAAAGATTCATTTTGTATATGTTTTTATCATGACAATCATAACAACAAAGATGAGGATGTTAAAACATTTCTTTAAAAGGAAGATGGAAAAATTAGCAGACAAGGTTCTCAACTTTTTTATGTCCCTTGTTCCACTAATGAAGACTTTTTAAGACCATTTGATTATTTTAATTAATAATACACATGGAAAAGACTAAAATACAATTAATAATTTATTAATTCATGACTGATTTTTGTCAAATTTTGTAACCATATCTTGGCACTAAATGAATATGAAATCAAATCCATGAAGTTCTTCAGGGTGACTAGCACATTGGTTCCTTACATAAGAAACCTATACAAGGATTAGATGAAAAATTCTATGAGAAAAGAGAGAGAAGAGGAAGAAAAGAGAGAGAAGAGGAAGAGAAGATAAAGAGAAGATGAAGAGAAGAGAGAGAGAGAAGAGAGAGAGAGAAGAGAAAGAGAAGAGAGAGAGAGAAGAGAGAGAGAGAAGAGAAAGAGAAGAGAGAGAGAAAGAGAGAAGAGAAAGAGAAGAGAGAGAGAGAAGAGAAAGAGAAGAGAGAGAGAGAAGAGAGAGAGAAGAGAAGAGAGAGAGAGAAGAGAAAGAGAAGAGAAGAGAGAGAGAGAAGAAAGAGAAGAGAAAGAGAAGAGAGAGAAGAGAAGAGAGAGAGAAGAGAAAGAGAAGAGAGAGAGAGAAGATAAAGAGAAGAGAGAGAAGATAAAGAGAAGAGAGAGAAGATAAAGAGAAGAGAGAGAAGATAAAGAGAAGAGAGAGAAGATAAAGAGAAGAGAGAAGATAAAGAGAGAAGAGAAAGAGAGAGAAGATAAAGAGAAGAGAGAGAAGATAAAGAGAAGAGAGAGAAGATAAAGAGAAGAGAGAGAAGATAAAGAGAAGAGAGAGAAGATAAAGAGAAGAGAGAGAAGATAAAGAGAAGAGAGAGAAGATAAAGAGAAGAGAAGATAAAGAGAAGAGAAGAGAGAGAGAAGATAGAGAAGATAAAGAGAAGATAGAGAAGATAAAGAGAAGAGAGAGAAGATAAAGAGAAGAGAGAGAAGATAAAGAGAAGAGAGAGAGAAGATAAAGAGAAGAGAGAGAAGATAAAGAGAAGAGAGAGAAGATAAAGAGAAGAGAGAGAGAAGATAAAGAGAAGAGAGAGAGAAGATAAAGAGAAGAGAGAGAGAAGATAAAGAGAAGAGAGAGAGAAGATAAAGAGAAGAGAGAGAGAAGAGAAAGAAGATAAAGATAGAAAAGAATGAAAAGAGATCAAGAGAAACAGAGAAAAGAAACAAAAAATCAAGAAATAATGTTTTTAAAATAAATGATGTTTGGTGATTTAAGGAAATTTTGGGTAAAATGTCAGCATTCCCTCATACCTTGAGTTTCTATTTTCTTCCATCACTTAAGGGCCATTATATGTGATACACATTTGGTCAATCATGTCTCTTTCAAGCCATGGCTAACTACATAGAAGATTTTTCCTGCAGTAGGTTTTGCCAACTGAGGCTACAAGACATGGTCTGTCCTTCTATTCAACAACCCATAGCTGAGAAGGAGAAGAGATGGATTCATATTTTTCCCAAGGGTATATACACATAAATGTATCTAATGAACCCAACTGGAATTCAAGCTCAGTTCTCCAATTTCCAAGCCAATATCCATTACACTACAATGCCCATCCTCATATCCCTTACCCGTTGTAAATATGTTGATGAATTTAAGGGTACTGTTCTTCTACATCCCTAAACACTAGTCTTAACCCCTTCAAGTCAAAGGTTAATCCTTATCTATCCTCCTTATCCTCAATCATCACTTCCTATCACGTACTTCTTTCATTCATCATAACTATTTTAACAGTATCCTTCTAGCTTGAATGGTTCTTGAGCCTAGTATCATGTGAATGTTTAGTTTTGAAAAAATATCTAGGTATGTAGAAGACGTTCCAATAACTTGGACTGATTTTAAATGTGAATTAAGTTTAAGCATATAATGATTTTTTTTTTTTTCTTTTTCTTTCAGATTTAACAACTTAAGTCATTGGCAATTTCAACCATGGAAAAATCAACAATCAAACAACGTTAAAGTTATCGAAGCCTATTACTAAAATGATCAACATAATTGACCAACTGAGAGTGCAATTTGAAATGATGTAATGTTGTTGTGGAGAGATTCAATTCCTGCACGCGATGATGATTAGAGGGGTCTGGATTTTCAGCCACATTCTTGTGCACTGCACCAATGTTTTCAGCTGAATGGCGTAAACGAGCACACAATGGTGTTTTCACATTTGCCACCAACACAGTTTGTTTGAATTTAAAAACAATTTTTCCAATTGCACTCTTGAAACTTAACATGTTGTTTGATTGTTAATCTTTCCATGGTTGAAATTGCCAAAGACTTAAGTTGATAAATCTGAAAAAAAAAAAAAAAAAAAAAATTTAGACACTTAAACTTAATTCACATTTAAAATCAGTCCAAATTAATGGAACACACTTTATTTTACTTAATAAAGCTTCATGCACGGTTATCACTTTTCTTTTAACCATTTAACTACAAGCAAGGCAATAAAGCCACTAAGATGCAACATGTTATCAAATGTGAGAAAATGAGGAAAAAAGACATTATTAAGGAGAAAGAAAAATTAAGACAGTAGATAACATTTGACATTGAACTTCAAAAATTTATATACAAAGTTGACTGAAAAGCAAGAAGAGAGTTTCACAAGCGAGAAGTGTGATAGAAGAAACTGTTAGCATAGAACTTATGGTTACATCTAACCATTTCAACGGTGAAATGAGACCTAGCTGCCAATCTAGTACTACACTTAAATTCATGAAGTCAAGGTACCAAAGAGGAAAGCTCATTAGAACAATTACCATGAAAATATTCATAAAAAAGGGCATAGCAAAGCCACATTACAACAGTAGAAAAGTAAAGCAGAGATGCCAGGTCAAGACCAATAACACTGCACATTTTTCTTTGTATTCTATCAAGAACATCTAAATACAGATAAGATAACAACATTCAATGCATGAACAAATGCTAGATTCATAAATATGTCTGATGAGAAATATTATCTAGCACAACACAGTGAACCACCTTTCCTAGCAGCAGACCAAGCACTTATTTGAATATAATGTTTCCACTTCATGTTAGCAGAAAGCATTAGTCCAAGAAGCAACAAAAAGTCACTCTTCCTGGAGTAACTTCTGATAGAAGGCAAAAAAGGTTCTTGCAGACAATTCAAAAGATAGCATTTTCATTTTGCAAACGTTAAAAATAACAAGTCATTTCTTGACCCAGATTGTAGATCATTTTTGAGATCAGCTGCCAATTCGATCTTATTGAACTGACCAGACTTACCATTAAGACAGGAGTAAACAGTTGTGTCATCAGCACAGATACAGAGTTGAGAACTGATGACATAATGAAGAAGAACGTAGGTCCAAGGACAGAACCCTGGAGGAATACCATCATTAATACAAAAAGATCTAGAAGAGTGGCCATGCAAGATAACTTTCATTTTGCAATTTGATAAAACCAAAAATTTGTTCACAAATACCATAAACTTGTGCAGAAGACCAGCATACCAAACCCTGTCAATTACCTTTGATATATCCAAAGCAACAACCTGAACTTCACTATTCATATCTAAAGTTTTAATAGACTTTCAGCAGTAACCATTAATACATCAGCAGCTTCCCGGAGAAGCAAAAGCTATATTGCTTATCTACAAGAAGCCCATGCAAGATGAGATGCTTAACCAATTTAGAGTTGATTAGAGCCCCTAGTACTTTGCCAAAAAGCGGTAGAAGGCCAATGGGCAGATAGAAGATCAGACAATTACTTAAAGACTTGAACTACAGAAGAGGATTAGCAAGAAGTAACAAGGCATTTATTGAAGAATTTAGAGAGAACAGGAGCCAGTTCAGGAGCACATTTCTTAAGGACTATTGCAGGGATACCATCAAGTCTACATGCTTTATGAAAATCCAGTTTAGAGATGATAGTGGAAACCCTGAAGACAATAGTGACTCAGTTTTAAGTAGAAAGACAAGCAAAGATACTCCAAATGAGTCAAGAGCAGAATTTGAAAAGAATTTACGAGCCAAACAATCTGCTTTATCAGCAGATGTTAACACTTCAAACTGAATGAAAAGAAGGAATAGAACACTAATTCTTATTTAATACACTATTACAGAACTTGCAGTCATCACATGAACCAAACTTGTTAAATGTCACAGCAATTTGTTTACATTAGGATACAAAATAATGTTTAAGTAATAAAATATGTCAGATTAATAAATGAAAAATCCATTCTTAAGCTTTGTTTATGTTAGCATACAAAACCAACCAGATGTCTATTCCATGAATTGGGAATTATCTGTGTTTAAAAGAACTAGAACTTTGCTTGGCTATCATAAACAAAGCATAAATATGGGTATCCACTAAAAATAACAGTGAAATAATAAAATTATACAAAGTTTATTCTGTAAAACAGTTATATAAAAGAGTGCTCAATACAAAATGTAAAAAAAGAAAAGAACAAATGTACAAAGGTATTAAACCATGGTAGCATGAACGGTTAGTATTCCTTGACTTTGATATGTGTGTGTGTGTGTATATATATATATATATATATTTTTTTTTTTTTAATTTATAACATAAATACGTTATAAAATCACTACAAAAATAGCCATTTTGTTTCAACACCCCCAGTGTCTTATCAAGTGATGATGTTGAATGCCTCTGCTCTACTTTGTATTGAGCACTCTTTTAAGAATAGTAATTGTTGGTTATTGGAATTCATTTCGTATACACCAATTATATACTTGTGTGTGTGTGTGTGTGTGTGTGTGTGTGTGTGTATATATATATATATATATATATATGGGTTATAATGGAGTCAAAAGCCTTGCATGGCAACCTTCCTAGAGATGGTGGCTCCATAAAAACACTTGTACTCTGACTGCAGTGAATGTCAAAGTTGAGCAACAGGATTGTAAATCCTTGCCTCAAATCATTGACAAGATACCCTCTGCCAAGCAGGCTCCATCTTAATTTATGCAAGATTAATCCTAGACCCGACTTTAAAAAAAAAATGTATGTATGTATCCCACATTGTGTCAATACATAAAAAAAAAAAAAATTATATATCATATTTGCTCATAAAAACTTGTTTTTAATTATTCCTCATCACAAATGACAGAGAGGTTATTAGTGATACAAACTGATCTGTTAGTTATGGGAGAATGGTTTGCTAAAATTCTTACTCTAGCTGTAGAAATATTTTTTTGTCTAAATAAGACCAAGAGGAATTATTCAAAAGATTTGAATTGAAAAGAGCAACTTACTTTTAAGAGCCCCATGTGAACCAAAAGTGAGTTGGAAAACAAACACTGAATCGTTTCATCATCAGATTGAAGAAGTTCTGAAAATATGGAATCTGAAAAAAAAAATAAAAAATAAAATTAGTCCTTTTGTTTACAGCCTTAACAGAATGAAGAAAGAAAGATATTCAAGCCAGTAAAACATTTGAAGTTAGCATATATTAATTACTAGCTTAAAAAAAAAAAAAAACAAAAAAAAAAAAACACACACATCGGGCATCATTTAAGCTAGCAGTAATGAAAACTTTGGAATCCCAAATTTCAGGATTGTGGGTCCAGATCCAGCCTGGAATGTTTTTAATTTGTTCACAGTCAGCCCAATTCCAAAATGGTATAATATCTTGGGCTACAGCCTCCAAGAGTAAAGTGGAAAAGTGTGACACAGTGACACACTGACATTCATATTTATTATATGGATGAACCTGCTTTTATGAAGCAAGGACTTGTATATAACAGTCATAATTCAGAGTTTTGTATACCCAAACTCTGGATTAAAAATGAGGACATACAAACACTTTTAGAAGACATCATTCATTTTACACATACCTAACTAGGTAAACAGTAATATCTAAACTCATCTGTATACAAATTCTTTCTTTGATCAACAATTAAAAATGGCTTTGAGAAAATGAAGCATGTAGGTCTTAAGCGAAGACAATTCTTCTTTGAATCACATGGATGGGTGCCAGAGAATCACAAAGAACTGTACCAAATAAAGAAACCACATCACTTGATGACTTTTCAATGGTAGCAACAACTAAAATGGATAGTACATGTAATTCAAAGAGAAAATAATGATATAATCAAGATGGTGATGTTCCACACTACTTCAAACAAAAGGTTAGGAAGGAAACCACCATCAGTACTGGAAAGAGCAATAACAGTTACTGGACTTGAGAATTGTTTGTTTGATTATTAAGTGGCATATCAACTCCTTATCAGTCATTTTATGCCAAAATTTAATTTTCTTGGGAGCATTAGTCATTTCTTTTACAAAAATATATTGCTGGTAATACTTTTTTTTTCCTTACAGAAATGTATTGCTGATAATGTTTTTCCTATGAAAATGTATTGCTGGTATTTTTACTATAAAATTTTTTATACTTCCATAGTGTTTTGACCCAATATGAGGGTTAACTATTTGCCCAGAGTTGGGACCCTAACAGGTGCTACCACCCCAGATCAGAGTGGACCTGGGAACAACAACAACAATTAAGAGGTGGTTCCATTCTCCTCAAAACCTTCCAATCAGAAGCCTTGCTGCTGGACGTAGTTTATCATCATACCCTGGACTTTAGAAACCTAATTCCCTCAAAAACTGTTTTAATAGAAAGATTTTATAAATTTGAACCAAAAATAGCACTGGCTGTTCAGTCAGTTAAGGACACAGCTGTTATTACCATTACTAAATTTAACCTTTGTCTGGCACAAGGTCACAAATATGAGGCATCCTGTAGAGACCAAACTCACTACAGAAGTAATGTTGAGTGTGCCTAGTTATCCAAACACCTTTGTACAAGGCCAAAAGGTGTGCAGTTACCAGTAATCATTGAACTCAAAACAGCTGATCTGAAAAACTAACCTATCACAGCTTCACTACAAAATGTATACTGTTAAATTTAGTGAATACTTACTTTGGTGAAATAGTAATAGTTGACAAATTTGTGGGGTCAAGGGTCAGACAAGCAGTGTTTGATTTTTTTTTTTATCGTTATTTTTATTATTATTGGACACACGCACACAAAAAGAAATCCTTAAATGCTTCTTTAAAAACTGATGAATGAAACCCAAATCAAGTTTGAAAGACTTAACCCTTTGAAGACGGAGCCTCATTTGGAGTTTCAGTGCTAAGACGGAGCCCTTTTCATATGGTCTCACTTGGAACACAAAAAAAAAAAAAAAAAAAAAAAAAAAAAAATAATCAATCCAATTTCTTTACTTACCTGTGCAGGTGTTGGCAATTTTCTTGGTTTTCTCATTTGTGGAATCAACAACTGAAGATATCTAGCAACGAATAAAGCACAAAGAGAAAAAATAAAAATGTTTAAAATGTTAAAAGTCAATTTGAAAATAAAAATTTAAAAAGATAAAAACAATTTTTTTTAATTTAAAAAAAGAAGAAAAAAGGAGAAAAAAAGAAGAAAAAAGGAGAAAAAAAGAAGAAAAAAGAAGAAAAAAAGAAGAAAAAAGAAGAAAAAAGGAAATTTGTTTAAATAAAAATATTAATTAAACTACAAGCAGATTATTGTCCTCATCTTTGTTACTGTTATCAGTTTTTATCAGGTTTATAAATTTTTTACTGTTATCAGATTTTTATTATATGTCAATCCAGATAACCTACATGGAATTCCAAACTGAACCCATTACTTAATCTAAAGTGGCAGACTATTCTTGTCCCACTGGCCATCTCTAGCGATAACTCATCTAGTTCTTAATTTTAATACTGCTCAGCTATGGCTTGCTCTATTTCCACTGAATTCAAGTACACCCTGCAGGAATTGAACTCACAATTGCTTTTTCACCAAATTCACAAACACTTTATTCCACTAGGTTATTGTCCTGTGGGACAATTCTGTGGAGAACTTGGAGCCTTAAACCTGCTGATGAATCATTCTTGACTGCACTCACTGAAGATTTTCAGACAGAAATTATTTTTCTCCCTCTTAAATTTTGCAGTAATCGAAATTTCTTCTTTGACACAAATTAAGACGTGTCATCTGAATCGAATTTGGTTAGCTTGAAACGGAAATGCATTAAATTTTTCATTTCTTAATAAACCAATGTCAGATTGTCAAGACAGTAACAACAGTGAGGGTACCTGGAATCAAGAGCTGTCATTCTCCAAATTGCCCTACTAAGGCTAATGAGTCCTGTCAACTCTACTATTTTAACCCATACTTGGTGAGAGAGAAGAGACGGATTCATGCCATATATTTAGTAAGGAGTGAACAAAAGCAGCCTCAGGCAGAATTCTGTTTTCTGTGCCAGTAACTGTTATGGCAACTTCCACCTCATCCTGACTTCCCTGTCGAATATAACGCCACAATCTCACCACATAAGGTATTGACAATATAGTTTCTTTAGCAAGCAGGTATTTACGGATTGGAATTACCAACCCCATGCCCAACCAGTCCTGAATTCAGAGCTGAAGGGGAGATGGATCCAGACCTTTCGTAAGAGTATTTACACGAAAATGAATGCAACAAACTTGGCTGGAATTTGAACTTGGCACACAGGATTCACTTACTGTGCTGATATCTACTACATTAAACACACATCTCAAAATAAGTTACATAATACTACTACTACTGGTTGCACATTGTCTCACCCAGAAAATTAAAACTGCATGTTTAAAATCAGCTTTAAATTTAATGACTAGTGCATGCTGAAGATCTCCTGAATCTTAGAAAGGAAAAGCAAAAAAAAAATATTAAAAGGTAGAATTAAAAAGTTTAAAAGTATTTTTTTTTTAATTAAAGAAACATCTTTAAACTAAGCAAAAATTACTCAAAAGATTTAGTGGGGGAAAGAAAATGCCAACTCACTTTTAAAAATGTTTTTACAACTTCATCGACATCAGAAATCTTGTCCTGAAATGAAGAAAAGATTTTCTCTTTGAAGACAAAGAAAACTAAAGAGTCATTAGACATAGGAAAGTGCTGTTTTCTCAGAAACACTTGCTTACTACTGAAAAATCAATTTCTTCTTGTATTTCTATAGTAACACTATGATCAGTGGTTACATATAATAGTCCTATCCTGTCAGTAACACTTGCTTATTGAAAAGAAAGCAAACTACTTCAACACCCATCATTTCATTTTCAATGCAAGAAGAAAAGTATACAAAATCCATAAGACTAAAAACACAAGTACTATCAAAACCAAAAATACTAAGTTTATAATTGTACCAATTCAATCTTTATCCATAAGTTAGATCAGGGCGTGTCAAGCATATTGACCCAGAGATTACATTCAGCCCACATCATGTTTAGCCTAAGTTGCAGCTCAATCTTATTTAAACAATTTTATTATCATTATTTAGTTTCAAAATATAGTAGTTATAAAATAGCTTATATCCAATTTATTTTCAATAAAGGCTCAAAAACACAGCTCGACAGTTAAAGGTTAATCTTTCACAACAGGCGTGGGAACCTTTCTCTATTCTCTCTTTGAAAGAAAGGTAGGTGAATGTGTGAGCACACACACATTGTTAACACCTCACATTCTTTCTTGTGTTGTTAATAAATTTATTATAATGTATACTGATCCTTTTGTCCATAACTAAGTTTTTCTTCAGAATCCAGATCACAAAATTGAGATATATATATATTATAAATTAATTGATTTAAAATATGGTTATTTTCGCTACACAGTTCCAACCATGTTTCAAAAATAGAAGCTAAAAACCCCTAATTTTATTTTTGCAAATAAATTAAAAGCATTAGTTCCATTTCATCTTCAAGCGAATTTTGGAGTAACTTTTAAAATTTACCGGGTTTTAAATACACAGCTAAAATCACGTTTCCATGGTTACAGAATATTCTACTCAAATTGAACACGGGGTGTCTAGATTTTCCTTATGACAGTATCATTGTATCAGTTATTAGCTACATTTTTGGTAAGGGGAGGATGTATTTTACACTGAAACCTGACGTCGGGTTGAATGGATGTCGCCTGAATTTAAAAAAAAAAAAAAAAAAAAAAATTGTTAACGGTAAAAAAATTTTCAACGCCATCTTTTAAAATTAAAGATTTAAAGATTATATATATATATGTGTGTGTGTGTGTGTGTGCACGATGAAGAGTTATATTGAGTAAACTTTTAAACTTCGCCACTATTTGTATCATTTTATCCTAAATGCAAAAAACAAGCATACAAAATCCATATAGCAAAAAAAAAAGAAAGAAAGAAAGAAAAGACAGCACTAATAACAAAAATGATACAAAATTCATAATCCTGCCTTTCTAACACTTTCTACTAAACTTTAAACTTGCAAACAAATTCCCTATACAAGGTTCATTACCATCTCCTCTAAGACAATTGGAGATATAATTAGGAAGAAAAATAAACCCAACACCAATTCAAATGCCAAGATTTATTAAAAATCTGTTTACAATGCAAAAATGTTTATGTGAGAGAGACATCACATGATCTAAAAGCCTGCATCTACAAACACAAGATAGACTTGTGTTTGGACAATCAATCTACCTCTTGTTTTGCATTAAAATGATGTTAGACATCACTTTGATTTCACTAATGCCACCCTAATTAAAAAAGAACATAATTCTTTAAGGAGAAAATATATTGAAAACTTAACATTATTCCCAACTGTAAACACATGCCTAAAACATTGCCATCTTTCTTTGAATTCATTCTTAAATATGCTAGCCATAAATTAGAACCTTGTGATTCCCTGCTGTGCAGGGTGACAACACAAAGGTGAAGATAAAACTCCCTTTAAACAGACACACACAATTACAAATACACATTACCATCCAATGCCCACTTAGACATACAAGAATCTTCACAAATCTACATACACATAGAATTATCTATGGTTTTAATATATGTGCCTGACGAATGAGAACTGACCCAAACATAACTGAAAATATAAGTGTTTTGTCTTTTTGTCTGTTTTCTTCTAGTCTTTGACAAAGCTTTAATAAGCGTTTTTTTGTTCTTTTATATCATTTATATATATATATATATATATATATATAAAAAAACATTTTTTCATGTTTATACATTCTTTTTATAGACACAAATATTTAAGTAAATGCTCTGTTTACAATAAAAAGTATTAACAACATTTACCAGCCTGAATGTCTGAGAAATTTTCATAGAAAATATGTGTCCTCCAACAGAAATCGAACCTGTATCCTATACAGAACTAGCATATAGCCTGACAAGGCCTTACTGATTAGGCCACAGAGGAGCATTTGGTTAGCAAGGTCAATTTTACTGTATTTAAACACAATTCTCCATGATTTTCTCTCATACATTCATATCTGCTCAATGCGTATCCAAATGTAAACAAATGACATCACACATTATAAAATGGACAAAGTCTGACAATTATTTTTCAAGACATTTTTTTTATGTTTAACATTCTTTTTATAGATAAAAATATTTAAGTAAATGCTGTTTATAATAAACAGTATTAAACAACATTTACAGGCCTGAATGCCTGAGAAAATTTCATAGAGGACGCATATTTTCTATGAAAATTCCTTGGACATTCAGGCCAGTAAATGTTGTTTAATACTGTTTATTATAAACAGAGCATTTACTTAAATATTTTTATCTATAAAAAGAATGTATAAACATAAAAAAATGTCTTAAAAAAATAATTGTCAGACTTTGTCCATTTCGCGTGGTCATGTGTGATGTCAAGAGCTGCGATGCAATTTTCGCTTCCACGTCTCACATACACGAGTTTGACGTTGCTTTGAAATTTTTCATGCAACAAAAACGGATCATTATTGTTTCGTCCGTGTATTGTTTGATATATTGAAATGTAACAGCCATGTTTGATAATGGCTTATGTAAGCCGAAAGCTTAGATTGGATTTAAACATGTATCAATATGGTGATTTCCTTTTGTCCTTCAATGATAATGTTGTTAAGCTTATCAGACAATATGAAAGGAACTTACTTAAAATAGACAAAACTTGTCTATATTATTTAATGAAACATGCATCAACGAAAAATTGCTGACTATAATATATATATATATATATATATATATATATATATATATATATATATGAGTGTGTAAGCAGGGCAAACCTTATTTTCTTCAATCTTTAATATTTGAATAAACAAAAAAGACATGAACTTTGACAAATGTTAACTTGTTACTGCTATAAGCATTATTCTTTAATGGCTACACATTGAATTAACAGGGATGTTAACTCAAACAGGAAAAATTAATGTCAAACAGATGAGAAATCAAATGTCCTCACTAATGAAAAGTATGCCTCCTGACAGGATCTTAAATAATTTAAAAATTATCAATTTTAATACAGTGGTTTCTAAACATTTCAGAAGTGTGCACATGTTACATTTTTTAAAGGGGGGGATCTGGGGCCAAAAAAAAAAAAAAAATATATATATATATATATATATATATATATATATATATATATTATATATGAATGAATAAGTCTTGTTTGGGATTTTTTTATCATCCAAATACGACAGAACAAAATATGACAATTCTAAAAGGCGGTAAATGTGGTTGATGTTTGGAGAGAAATGTCTTCATTATAAAAACCATCATAATCAAAATGTTTTTGTTTTAATGAAGTTGCTTAAAACTAAATACTCCTAATGCCATCTAATGATCAAGATAAAATATTTTTGGCTAAAGTAGTTGTAAATGTAGAAATTCTTTTTTTTTTTTATACTCACCCCAAGTTCCTGTTTAATACCATTAGCAGCTTTTTCACTTGCTCCAAGTCCCAACAATTTTGATGGAGATGGGAAAGTCAAGAATTCACCGGGTGAAATCTACATGAAAAAAAAAGAAAAACAGGCTCCTGAGTTGTTGAGATGCAGCATCATATTCATCTAAGTTTTTCCTGTCAAACATTTTAGCCACACACATGTTGCATGTAAAATAATAATAATAATAATAAAAAAAAAAAAAAAAAACAATTGAGGAGGTCATACTTGACTCATCCAATCAAAAAAACAATTTTCAAATCAGTCCAGGTTCAAATTCAGATCTCTGTACTTTGGCTGACTCCAAAAATTCTATTATAATTGTGCTTGTCATTCCCCCTTCATTAATTCACATGACCGTTAAGCCCTGTCAATACCTCAGAAATAATGAACTATTCGGTTTTCATTGTGTGGAAAGAGAAAGATGCTAATTGGTTTCAGTGAGAAAATGAAAGGAAAAAAGAGAAGATCAAAGTGGAGAGAGATAATCTGATTAAGCTAATAAGAACAGATACTACACTTTGATCCTAAGCCAAGAAGTGAAGGCGATTGCAAAAATGCACCATTTTTCAAACAATGGAAACCAAGGCAATCACCAAAAATAAAACATCTGAATTATTTTTAAATTATTAAGAGAAATGTTCTTAATACAAGGATTTGGCTAGTTCAATATATTTTGGAACCAGGAAAATTGAAGAAAACATTTTTTTCTAATCCTAAAATAAACTTGTAATAAAAGAAACTTATTTGTTTAATGGCTATTTTATGATATTTCTTTTGTAAAATGAGAGAAAGCAGCTTTACATACAGAGGATATTAAATGCATGAATTTTTTTTTATGTTAATTTTTCATCAGATTAATATCTTAATTTTTGTTACAATTACATTTCAGCCATTGCATGCTCAAGCCTTCTTCAGGTTTCTGTCAATCCGGGTAACTTTCCTGGAATAAACCCTTTATTCAAATTATATGGTTACACTGTTCTTAAATCATGACATTTCAGACGGCACTTTTATTCAATATAAAAGCTTAAGATGCAGGGTGATTTTTAAGTTTTTCTTGAGAAAAAAAAAAAAAAAAAAATAGTTAACTCCAGATAAAATGAAAAAAAATTGCCTTGTGTCATATTTCTCAGCACTTTGGCTGGCTACTCATTATTTTGTCAAAGTTTTGCTGAACCTGTAACAGAGCAGTGGCCTCCGACTGAGTCATACTAGCATGGAAAGTGGTCAGCGACTAGAAATATAGAGAGGCTTAATAATTCTGAGCAAAGAAGAGATATTAGAAAGAAAAAAATAAAGCAGGGTGGTTAATCAGATTGGCATTTGATTAAAAAAAAAAATTCCATTTAAAAATATTAATTTAAACCTATAAAATATTTATAAAGAAGAACCTTGGAAGAGTTTGATCTCAAATTATTAGACTAAGATGTAGTAAGATTCAGCATAACTGATACTTCCAGCATGTATGCGCAGAAATCAGAGTAACCCAGAGATTGTCAGAGCACGTGTCTTGGAGTCAGACACATGCAGAGAAAACTGGCAGTCCCATCCAACACCTATCATGCATTAGAGAAAATTCACTATAGAAGTCATCTGCTGCAAAGATGTTAGCACTTCCACATTTCTTAACAAACAGACATCTCTGTGCTTCAAGGGTAGAAAAGTGATTGGAACAAAACAGCCCCATAGCTGGTATGTAATTTGTAAACTTCACCAACAAAAACTAGCTGAATCCATGGTAATTGCACAAGGGTTGACAACTAATATTATCTGTCATCTCAGGCTTCTTCTAATCTCATTTTTTGTCTGTATCTTCTCATTCTTTCCCTTATCCTTTCCAATCTTCATTGCCTATCCTTAATGTTTCTACAAACATGCAAAATTGGTTCAAAATTCTCCATTAAAAAAGAAAAAATTGTCATTTCTTCTGTTGGCATGCTTAAACCTTTTTCAATAAGATCACCAATGTTGAATTAATAAATAAACAGTATAATCAAAATATCGTCCAGATCAACAAAAACCTCAACCTGTCATTTCTGGCAGATACACAACAAAAACCTCAACCTGTCATTTCTGGCAGATACACAACAAAAACCTCAACCTGTCATTTCTGGCAGATACACAACAAAAACCTCAACCTGTCATTTCTGGCAGATACACAACAAAACCTCAACCTGTCATTTCTGGCAGATACACAACAAAAACCTCAACCTGTCATTTCTGGCAGATACACAACAAAAACCTCAACCTGTCATTTCTGGCAGATACACAACAAAAACCTCAACCTGTCATTTCTGGCAGATACACAACAAAACCTCAACCTGTCATTTCTGGCAGATACACAACAAAAAAAACCTCAACCTGTCATTTCTGGCAGATACACAACAAAAACCTCAACCTGTCATTTCTGGCAGATACACAACAAAAACCTCAACCTGTCATTTCTGGCAGATACACAACAAAAACCTCAACCTGTCATTTCTGGCAGATACACAACAAAAAAACCTCAACCTGTCATTTCTGGCAGATACACAACAAAAACCTCAACCTGTCATTTCTGGCAGATACACAACAAAAACCTCAACCTGTCATTTCTGGCAGATACACAACAAAAACCTCAACCTGTCATTTCTGGCAGATACACAACAAAAACCTCAACCTGTCATTTCTGGCAGATACACAACAAAAACCTCAACCTGTCATTTCTGGCAGATACACAACAAAAACCTCAACCTGTCATTTCTGGCAGATACACAACAAAAACCTCAACCTGTCATTTCTGGCAGATACACAACAAAAACCTCAACCTGTCATTTCTGGCAGATACACAACAAAAACCTCAACCTGTCATTTCTGGCAGATACACAACAAAAACCTCAACCTGTCATTTCTGGCAGATACACAACAAAAACCTCAACCTGTCATTTCTGGCAGATACACAACAAAAACCTCAACCTGTCATTTCTGGCAGATACACAACAAAAACCTCAACCTGTCATTTCTGGCATTTACTTTGCCTTTTCTTTAACCTTTACCATGCTACAAGCAAAAATGGTCACTGTAGAATTCTCTTCCTTTGTTGCTCTAGGCACATTCTGTCACCTTGTAAATAAACTGGGCTCCTACTGAAAAATCATGCTGCAAAAATGGTCTGCAAGGATTCTCTGAACAGTTATCAAGTGGTGAGTCCTGTTGACACCAGACCTCAAGAACATAAGGCACAATATCTGGTTGAAAATGAAAAACTATGTGGAAGCAGAGAAGAGGATGATGATAATATGAATGTATTTATAATGGCTGCACTGGACCAAAGCCTATTCCTCAGGAATTACCAGGCAAACATCAAAAAAATGGTACAGACCTTGTGCGCATATATATATATATATATATATATACACACACACGTTTCATTAAATAATATAGACAAGTGTTGTCTATTAATTTTATGTAAATTTTTTTCGTAATGTCTGATAAGTTTAATAACATTATCGTTGAACGAAGAAAGAAATTCACAATATTGATCCATATTTTTTAATACAATCTAAGCTTTCGGCTTACTTAAGCCATTATCAAAGATGTCAATTACAACATATTAAGCAATATATGGACAAGACAGTGATGATAGTCTGTCATTGTTTGCATAGATGATTTCTAAGTAACGATAAACACGTGCATATAAGACGCTAGAAGCGAAAATCGCACTGCATCTCATGACGTTACACATGACCACATGAGAGTTAATTGGAGAAGTATGAAGTATGGGAAGCCGTGGTATACATATATATATATATATATATATATATATATATAATATGTGAACAACATATTGAGACTATTGGCCACTTATTATCTGTTTGCCCAACTCTAACACCAATGAAATATAAAGGTCAATATGATAAGACTGGTCAGTATAGTCATTGAATAATATGTCAATATTAAAGTGTGACACAGGCTGAAAAATGGTATGAACATCATCCTGAAAAAATAGGCATCTCATAGATATGACTGTACCATCAAATGAAAATCTATTTGTTAAGGAATATGACAAAATAATTAAACATCTTGAAATTGAAAAAATGCAGAACCTTAAAAGTATTGTTATGCCTGTAATAATTGGAGCCCTGTGTATGATGAAAGGAGACAAAAATAAATTTTAAAAATGTACAGACAATAACATTAAGGAGATCCCAATCAGCTTTTTCTGTTTATGGCTTTTTTTTTTTTGTCTGTCTTTTCTTTTTTTTTTTTTTATGATTTCTAGAAATAAAAGAGAAAATAGAAGTACATTCATAAATATCTCTGAGTGACAGACTTATCTGAATTCCTAAGCACTCAACATTCTTTTGTAAGTGCCAAGAGAAAGATCCGAACCCACTGCGTCTAGGTTTGGGAGGAGGGGCTAAAATATTCTTTTTTTTTCTTATGGATTATATACTTGAAAAAGGCTGTGGAATCAGTAGAAATAAAAAAGATTTTAAATTATATGTCTACTAACAATCCAAGAATGACAATCAAGAATTGCAATAAAGAGCAACAGAAATAATATCACAAAAGTGATTAATGGTGGTCGATAGGACGCATAGCAAAAAGAAAAGAAAACAGGTGGAGTAAAAGGCTGTTTTGACTGGTGCTCAATGGATAACAAACAGAAAAAACAAAACAAGACGGCGAGACCAGATACAAGACGGAGAGACCGGGTAGAAGGGCCTGATGGCTTGGAATAGCATTGGCACAGTCATTATAGGAGCATTTTGTGGGAGGGGGATGAACCTTTGTCCTTCATGCATTTGGTGATGATGTATACTACTCACTGTGGTTCAGTAATAAAAAAAAAAAAAAAAAAAAAAATGTTCTTTTGTAGGATGATTTATATTTATCTTCAAAAACAAAAATTCAGTAACATTTGCCATGAACCATATTAACGGACATGATCTGATCACGGAAAAAAAAAAAAAAAAAAATTAAAAAAGTATCACACCCAACATTCTTGTGTAGGTGCCAAGACAAATATCTTTTCCTGTACAGATTATATACAAAAATTTCTGTGTTCAATATGAACACAA